CCAAAAAAATCCTCCAAAAACTTCCCCCAAATTCCTTCAAAAATTAAAAAAAAACCAAAAAAAATACCCCCAAAAAATTCCAAAATTAACAAAATCCCCCCAAAAAAATCCCCAACAAAATCCCCCCAAAATTAACAAAATCCCCCCAAAAAATCCCCCCAAAATTAACAAAATACCCCCAAAAAATCCCCCAAAATCCCTTTAAAAAAAATTACTCCCAAAAAAATCCCCCCAAAATCCCAAAAATAAAAATAAAATCTCTTAAAAAATAACAAAATCCCCCCCAAAAAAAAATCCCCAAAAAATTCCCCCAAAATGAACAAAATCCCCCCAAAAAATCCCCCAAAAAATCCCACGAAAATTAACAAAATCCCCCCAAAAATCCCTTCAAAAATAACAAAATCCCCCCCAAAAGAAATCCCAAAAAAATCCCCCCAAAAATTAACAAAATCCCCCCAAAAAAATCCCCCCAAAATCCCCCCAAAAATAACAAAATCCCCCCCAAAAAAATCCCCCCAAAAAATCCCTTAAAATTAATGAGATATTCCAAAAAAATCAAAAAAACATTTAAAAAGCCCCTTAAAAATTACAATACCCAAAAAAAATCCCCAAAAAATCCCTTAAAAAAATAACAAAATACCCCCAAAATTTCCCCAAAAAATCCCCAAAAAGCCCTTAAAAATAACAAAATACCCCCAAAAATCCCCCAAAAAAATCCCCCAAAAATCTCATAAAAATAAGAAAATAACCCCCAAAAGATCCCCCCAAAATCCCTCAAAAAATAACAAAATACCCCAAAAAATCCCTTTAAAAATGACCAAAAAAACCACAAAAAATACTTTAAAAAACAAAATGGCCCCAAAAATCACAAAAATTTCTCATAAAAATACCCCCAAAAAATCACAAAAAAAGTTTAAAAATCACCCAAAAACCCCATAAAAACATCCAAAAATCACAAAAAAAATCTAAAAAAATCATTTAAAAAATCCAAAAAAATCACATAAAAATACCCAAAAAATAACAAAACAATCCAAAAAATGACCAAAAAATTCCCATAAAAATACCACAAAAATACCCCAAAAAAATCACAAAAAAATCCTAAAAAATTCCCATAACAATATCCAAAAGAAAAAGATCCCAAAATTCCAAAAAAAAATTCATAAAAAAATTTTAAAAATAATCACAAAAATTTTAAAAATAATCACAAAAAATTAGGGAAATAGAAATCTCTTAAAAAATAGTGAAAAAATTTTAAATATTCACAAAAAAAATTACACGCAAAAAAATCCCCTCAAAATCACAAAACAATCACCAAAAAGTCACAAAACATTCACATAAAAATACCCCAAAAATTCCAAAATTCAAAAAAAAATTCCCCAAAAATATCCCCAAAAAGTCCCATTAAAAGCCCAAAAAACCCTCAAAAATCAAAAAAAAACCCCAAAAATTTTCACAAAATAATCACAAAAAATACAAAAAATCACCAAAAAAAAACTTATTTTTTTTAAATATTCACAAAAAAATATTTTTTAAACCCAAAAGAAATCAACCAAAAAATCACAAAAAACACAAATAAAAAATACAAAAAAATATGAAAAAAAACCCCTAAAAAATCCATTTAAAAATCCCAAAAAATAGGAATAAATTCCCCAATCGCCCACGTATTCCCAAATTCCCAAAATTCCCAGAAAATTCCCGGAATTCCCGGAAAAAACGGGAATTTTGGGGCTTACGGAGACGATGTCGGCGATGCAGCGGTTGAGGTTCCCTTTGTCGTCCTTGATGGTGATTGGTCGATCCTCGCGGATCCGCTCCATGGCCAGGGGGCAATCCAGCTGAAAATTCCCAAAAATTCCCAAAATTCCCAAAATTCCCAAATTTCCCAATCCACTCCCAAATTTCCGAGCCAAAATTCCCAAAAATTCCTGAAAAAATCCACCAAAAAAAGCCCAAAATTCCCAATTTTAGCCCCAATTCCATCCATGGCCAGGGGGCAATCCAGCTGAAAATTCCCGAAAATTCCCAAATTTCCCAAAATTCCCAAATTCCCAATCCATTCCCAAATTTCTGAGCCAAAATTCCCAAAAATTCCTGAAAAAATCCACCAGAAAAAAGCCGAAATTTCCCAATTTTAGCCCAAATTCCATCAATGACTGAGGGCCAATCCAGCTGAAAATTCCCAAAAATTCCCAAATTTCCCAAATTTCCATATCCATTCCCAAATTCCCGAGACAAAATTCCCAAAAAATCCTGAAAAAATCCACCAAAAAACGCCCAAAAAAAGCCCAAAATTCCCAATTTTAGCCCCAATTCCATCCATGGCCAGGGGCCAATCCAGCTGAAAATTCCCAAAAATTCCCAAATTTCCCAAAATTCCCAAATTTCCCCATCCATTCCCAAATTTCCGAGCCGAAATTCCCAAAAATTCCTGAAAAAATCCCAGAAAAATCCCCAAAATTCCCAACCCCAAAATTCCAAATTTCAGTCCCAAAATTCCCAGAAATTCTTGCAAAAATCTCCCAGAAAAAGCCCAAAAATTCCCAATTTTACACCCAAATTCCCAAAATTCCCAAAATTCCCAAATTTCCCCATCCACTCCCCAATTTCTGAGCCAAAATTCCCAAAAATTCCTAAAAAAATCCACAAAAAAAGCCCAAAATTCCCAATTTTAGCCCCAATTCCATCCATGGCCAGGGGCCAATCCAGCTGAAAATTCCCAAAAATTCCCAAATTTCCCAAAATTCCCAAATTTCCCCATCCAATCCCAAATTTCTGAGCCAAAATTCCCAAAAATTCCTGAAAAAATCCACCAAAAAAAGCCCAAAATTCCCAATTTTAGCCCCAATTCCATCAATGATTGGGGGCCAATCCAGCTGAAAATTCCCAAAAATTCCCAAATTTCCCAAAATTCCCAAATTTCCCCATCCACTTCCCAATTTCCGAGCCAAAAATCCCAAAAATTCCTGAAAAAATCCCAGAAAAATCCCAAAAATTCCCAACCCCAAAATTCCAAATTTCAGTCCCAAAATTCCCAGAAATTCCTGCAAAAATCTCCCAGAAAAAAACCCCAAAAATTCCCAATTTTACTCCCAAATTCCCAAAATTCCCAAATTTCCCCGTCCACTCCCAAATTTCCGAGCCAAAATTCCCAAAAATTCCTTAAAAAATCCACCAAAAAAAGCCCAAAATTCCCAATTTTAGCCCCAATTCCAACCATGATTGGGGGCCAATCCAGCTGAAAATTCCCAAAAATTCCCAAATTCTCCCAAAATTCCCAAATTTCCATATCCATTCCCAAATTTCCGAGCCAAAATTCCCAAAAATTCCTGAAAAAATCCCACAAAAATCCCCAAAATTCTCAACCCCAAAATTCCAAATTTCAGTCCCAAAATTCCCAGAAATTTCTGCAAAAATCTCCCAGAAAAAGCCAAAAAATTCCCAATTTTACTCCCAAATTTCCCAAAATTCCCAAATTTCTCCATACTCCCAAATTTCCGAGCCAAAATTCCCAAAAATTCCTGCAAAAATTCCCACAAAACCCAAAAAAAATCCCAAAATTTTGCCCAAAATCCCAAAAATTTCCCTCAAAATTCCACAAATTTCCATTCCTGGAATCCCAAACTCCCAAAATTCCCAAATTTTATTCCCAAATATTTTCTTCCATTTCTCGATTTCAGTCAAAAATTCCCTCAAAAATCCTGAAAAAATCCCCAAAATTCCCCCCAAAAATCCCAAATTTCACCCAAAGTCCTTCAAATTCCCAATTCCACAATCCCAAATTCCCAAATTCCAGCCCAAAAATTCCCAAAATTTCCAGAATTTCATTCCCAAATTTTTCCCTTTTGTGTCTCAATTTTAGTTAAAATTCAGAAAAAAAACCACAAAAAAACACCAAAAAAACCCAAATTTTCTCTGAATTTTGCCCAAATTTCACCCAAATTTTGCCCAAAATCCCTCAAATTTCACCCAAAAATTCCCAAAATTCCCAAATTTCATTCCCAAACTTTTCTCCTCCACTTCCCAATTTTAGTCAAAAATCAACGCAAAAAGCTCCTAAAAAATCCCATAAAAACTCCAAATTTTGCCCAAATTTCACCCAAATTTCACCCAAAACCCCTCAAATTTCACCCAAAATTCCCAAATTCCCAAAATTCCCAAAACTCACCCGGAATTTCCGGCAGAAGTCGTCGATGGTGCCGATCTCCCCGCCCTGCACCTGCTTCCCGCCAACTCCCACAAAAATCCCAAAATTCCCCTAAAAAATCCCAAATTTTGACCCCAAATCCCCAAAATTCCCAATCCCAGAATCCCAAATCCCGAATTTTGGCCCAAAAATTCCCAAAATTCCCCAAATTTCATTCCCAAATTTTTCCCTTCCGTGTCCCAATTTTAGTTAAAATTCAGCACAAAAATCACAAAAAAACACCAAAAAAAACCCAAAAATTCTCCAAATTTCACCCAAATTTCACCCAAAATCCCTCAAATTCCACCCAAAAAATTCCAATAATTCCCAAATTTCATTCCCAAATTTTTCCCTTCTGTGTCTCAATTATAGTCAAAAATTAACACAAAAAACTCCAAAAAAATCCTGTAAAATTTCCAAATTTCGCCCAAATTTCACCCAAATTTTGCCCAAAATCCTACAAATTTAACCCAAAAATTCCCAAAATTCCCAAATTTCAATCCCAAACTTTTTTTCTCCACTTCTCAATTTTAGTCAAAAATCAACGCAAAAACCTCAAAAAAAAATCCCATTAAAAATCCAAATTTTACACAATTTTCGCCCAAATTTCACCCAAATTTCACCAAAAACCCTTCAAATTCCACCCAAAAAATTCCAAAAATTCCCAAATTTCATTCCCAAATTTTTCCCTTCTGTGTCTCAATTTTAGTCAAAAATCAACGCAAAAAAACTCAAAAAAATCCCATAAAAATTCCAAATTTTGCCCAAATTTCACCCAAATTTCGCCCAAAATCCCTCAAATTTTTTCCCAAAATTCCCAAAATTCCCAAAATTCCCAAAATTCACCCGGAATTTCCGGCAGAAGTCGTCGATGGTGCCGATCTCCCCGCCCTGCACCTGCTTCCCGCCAACTCCAAAAATCCCCAAAATTCCCCCAAAAATCCCCAAAAATCCCCAAAAATCCCAAATTTCACCCCAAAATTCCCAAATTCCCAATCCCAGAATCCCAAATTCCCAAATTCCAGCCCAAAAATTCCCAAAATTCCCCAATTTTATTCCCAAATTTTTCCCTTCCGCTGCTGCATTTCAATCAAAAATCAGCACAAAAAACTCAAAAAAATCCCAAAAAAAACCCAAAAATTGTCCAAATTTCACCCAATTTTTGCCCAACATCCCTCAAATTTTTCCCTAAAATTCCCAAAATTCCCAAATTTCATTCCCAAATTTTCTTCTCCACTTCTCAATTTCTGTCAAAAATCAACGCAAAAAACTCAAAAAAATCCCTAAAAAAACCAAAAAATTGTCCAAATTTCACCCAATTTTTGCCCAAAATCCCTCAAATTTCACCCAAAAATTCCCAAAATTCCCAAATTTCATTCCCAAACTTTTCTTATCCACTTCTCAAATTCAGGCAGAAATCAGTGCAAAAAACTCCACAAATTGCCGCAAAAAATTCAAATTTTGCCCAATTTTTGCCTAAATTTCGCCCAAATTTTGCCCAAAACCCCTCAAATTTCACCCAAAATTCCCAAATTTCCCAAAATTCCCAAAATTCACCCGGAATTTCCGGCAGAAGTCGTCGATGGTGCCGATCTCCCCGCCCTGCACCTGCTTCCCGCCAACTCCAAAAATCCCAAAATTCCCCCAAAAATCCCCAAAATTCCCCCAAAAATCCCCAAAATTCCAGCCCAAAAATCCCAAATTTCCACCCCAAATTCCCAATCCCAAATTCCCAAATTTCAGCCCAAAAATTCCCAAAATTCCTCAAATTTCATTCCCAAATTTTTCCCTTCTGTGTCTCAATTTTAGTCAAAAATCAGCACAAAAAACTCCAAAAAATCCCGAAAAAAATCCAAATTTCGCCCAATTTTCACCCAAATTTCACCAATAACGCCTCAAATTTTTTCCTAAAAATTTCCCAAAATTCCCGAAATTCCCAAAATTCACCCGGAATTTCCGGCAGAAGTCGTCGATGGTGCCGATCTCCCCGCCCTGCACCTGCTTCCCGCCAACTCCCAAAATCCCAAAATTCCCCCAAAAAATCCCAAAAATCCCCAAAAATCCCAAATTTCACCCAAAATCCTTCAAATTTCCAATCCCACAATCCCAAATTCCCAAATTCCAGCCCAAAAATTCCCAAAATTTCCCAAATTTATTCCTAAATTTTTCTCTTCCGCTGCTGCATTTTGGTCAAAAATCAACGCAAAAAACTCAAAAAAAATCCCGTAAAAATTCCAAATTTCACCCAAATTTTGTCCAAATTTCACCCAAAATCCCTCAAATTCCACCCAAAAATTCCCAAAATTCCCAAATTTCATTCCCAAACTTTTCTTCTCAACTTCCCAATTTTAGTGAAAACTTAACGCAAAAAATGCCACAAAAAATCCAAATTTTGCCCAAATTTTGCCCAAATTTCGCCCAAATTTCGCCCAAATTTCATCCAAATTTCACCCAAAATTCCCAAAATTCCCAAAATTCCCAAAACTCACCCGGAATTTCCGGCAGAAGTCGTCGATGGTGCCGATCTCCCCGCCCTGCACCTGCTACCCGCCAACTCCCAAAATCCCCAAAATTCCCCCAAAAAATCCCAAATTTTCACCCCAAATCCCGAAAATTCCCAATCCCACAATCCCAAATCCCCAAATTCCAGCCAAAAAATTCCAAAAATTCCCAAATTTCATTCCCAAATTTTTCCCTTTTCTGTTTCAATTTTAGTCTAAAATTAACACAAAAACCTCCAAAAAATCCCGCAAAAAATACAAATTTTGCCCAAATTTCACCCAAATTTCGCCCAAATTTCACCAAAATCCCTCTAATTTTTCCCTAAAATTCCCAAAATTCCCAAAATTCCCAAATTTCATTCCCAAACTTTTGTTGTCCACTTCTCAAATTCAGGCAGAAATCAGTGCAAAAAACTCCAAAAAATGCCGCAAAAAATTCAAATTTTGCCCAATTTTTTGCCCAAATTTCACCAAAAACGCCTCAAATTTTTTCCTAAATTTCCCTAAAATTCCCAAATTTCCCGAAATGCCCAAAACTCACCCGGAATTTCCGGCAGAAGTCGTCGATGGTGCCGATCTCCCCGCCCTGCACCTGCTTCCCGCCAACTCCCAAAATCCCCAAAATTCCCCCAAAAAATCCCCAAAAATCCCAAATTTCACCCAAAGTCCTTCAAATTCCCAATCCCAAATCCCCAAATTCCAGCCCAAAAATTCCCAAAATTCCCCAAATTCATTCCCAAATTTTTCCCTTCCGCTGCTGCATTTCAGTCAAAAAACAGCACAAAAACCACAAAAAAACTCCAAAAAAACCCAAATTTTCTCTGAATTTTGCCCAAATTTCACCCAAATTTTGCCCAAAATCCCTCAAATTTCACCCAAAAATTCCCAATATTATTCCTAAACTTTTGTCCTCCAGTTCCCAATTTTAGTGAAAAATTAAAGCAAAAAATGCCACAAAAATTCCAAATTTCGCCCAAATTTCACCCAAATTTCGCCCAATTTTCGCCCAAATTTCGCCCAAAATGCCTCGAATTTCACCCAAATTTTTCCCTAAAATCCGGAAATTCCCAAAATTCCCAAAACTCACCCGGAATTTCCGGCAGAAGTCGTCGATGGTGCCGATCTCCCCGCCCTGCACCTGCTTCAGCGCCGCCTTGAACTGCACCAGGAGCCGCGAGCACGCCGCCGTGTACCTGAAAATTCCCAAATTTTCCCGGAATTTTCCCGGAATTTTCCCGGAATTTTCCCGGAATTTCCGGGTTTTTCCCTCCGGCGTTCCCGGCTCTGGGAATTTTGGGGATTTTTGGGGTGATTTTGGGGGATTTTGGGGCTCACTCGTTGGGTGTGACGCAGTCTTTGATGTACGCCTTCTCCAGAGCCTGCAGCGTCTTCACCACCGCAAACAGCTCCGCCATGTTGTCGTACCTGCGGCGTACTGGTTTGTACTGGGAGGGACTGGGAGGGACTGGGAGCCACTGGGAATGGACTGGGATATACTGGGAATGGATTGGGAGGGACTGGGATGGACTGGGATGGACTGGGACAGACTGGGACAGACTGGGAGGGACTGGGATGAACTGGGACATACTGGGATGGACTGGGATTAACTGGGATGGACTGGGATATACTGGGATGGGACTGGGATCAACTCACTTCTCCCTTTCCCGCGCGTTCTTGTAGAGCTTCACCTCCTGCGGGGGGAGGAGACGGGAAAATTCCCAAAAAATCCCCAAAAAATTCCCGAAATTCCCAAAAATTCCCAAAATTTCCCGAAATTCCCAAAATTTCACGGCTCAATCCCGACCACTTCCGGGTATCCTCGGCCATTTCCGGTCATTTTCGGAAACTCGGCCATTTCCGGCCATCCTCCGCCATTTCCGCCCATCCTCGGCCATTTCCGCCCATCCTCGGCCATTTCCGGCAATTTCCGGACACTCTCGACCATTTCCGGTCACCCTCGGCCATTTCCGCCCATCCTCGGCCATTTCCGCCCATCCTCGGCCATTTCCGGTCACCCTCGGCCATTTCCGGCCACTCTCGACCATTTCCGGACACTTCAGGACACTCTCGGCCATTTCCGCCCATCCTCGGCCATTTCCGCCCATCCTCAACCATTTCCGCCCATCCTCGTCCATTTCCGCCCATCCTCGGCCATTTCCGGCCATCCTCGGCCATTTTCGGCCATCCTCGGCCATTTCCGGACTCTCTCGACCATTTCCGGTCATCCTCGGCTATTTCCGCCCATCCTCGGCCATTTCCGTCCATTTCCGCCCATCCTCGGCCATTTCCGGACACTCTCGGTCATTTCCGGTCATTTCCGGACACTCCCGAACATCTCCGGACACTTCCGCACATTCCCGAACACTTCCGGACATTCCCGAACATTTCCGACCATTCCCGCCCCGCACTCACCTCGTAAAGCTCCGGTTTATTCCCGGGCGCTGCCGTGGGAGGAAGGGAAGCGTTAAAAGGCGGAAGGAACACCGGGAATTCCATCCCGGGAATTCCCTCCCGCCTCTCACCGCCCATCCCGGCCGGGCCCGCGATGCCGTGGAACATCCCCGGCTGAGCCTGGAGGGCTCTGGGCCCCCTCCTCGATCCCGATAATCGCGATAATCCCGATGATTCCGGTGATCCCGGTGATCCCGGTCCGGTCCCGGCGGTTCCGCAGCGCTTCCGCCTCTTCCCGTACACACTCCCAAAGGTCCCTCCCCTTCCGCAAATCCCGGCGTTTCATTGGCTCTGCCACTCCGCCTCTCTGTTTTATCCTTCGCTGATTGGCTCTTGCGGCTGTCAATCAAATCCGTTGCCAAGCGACGCCTCCATCTTTGTCCCCGCTATGGCGCCTCTGTGGCCCAGTCTGAGGGGCGGCACTACATTACCCACAATGCCTTTCTCCGCGTGTCCCGCCTCTTTTTAACACCGATTGGCTGTTTATCTCAGACTCTCGCCGCTGATTGGTCTTTTCAATTGTCTGTTACTGCGGTTGCCAGGCGACGCCGCCATGTTGTTACCTCCTATGGCGGCACAGAAGGAGACGGTGCTGTGGGAGCCGACGGCGCTCGTGTCCCCGGTCACGACGGGTCCGAGACTGCCGCTATCAGCGTCTTGCGAGGCTTAATTAACGCCGTGACCTTAATTATTGCTTGGCTTAATTAGAGCCGTGTGTAAAGGGAGTTTTGCCGTAAAAACTTCCCTTCCCATAATTCCTTTCCCCACATGTCCCGCCTTTTCCGGTGTCATCGCCGCACCCTATTGGCTGACACCCCACCCATCCCCATTTCCGCGGCGCTGATTGGCTGTTTCCCCCATCAATCTCCCCGTTGCTACGCAACACCCCCAACCAGCGACAACATGGCGGCGCCCAGCAGCGACCCCTCAGCATCCGCGGCGCTCTCGGAGCTCACGGCGCTGCTCTCCCCGTCCTCCCCCGCCGCTCCCGGAGCTGCCGAGGCCGCCCTGGCGCTGTCGGGCAGCGCCTCGGGCCGGGCGCTGCTTGCGGGACACCCCGCGGCCTTAGCGGCCTTGTGCGGCCTTGCCGCCTCGGCCTCGCGTGGATCGCAGCCCGCCTTGGCCGCGCTGGTGAACGCGTCCTCGGAGCCCGCCGCGCTGGAGCCGCTGCTCCCCGCCGTTCCTTCGCTGGCCGAGCTGCTGCCCAGCTCCGGGGCGGCCTGCGGGGTGCTGGCCAACCTCAGCCGGGACGAGGCGGCGGCGCCGCGGGTGCTGCGGGCGTTGGGCCCCGGAGCGGGGCCGCTGCTGCGGGCGCTGAGCGCGGAGCGGCCGCCGGAGGAGCTCGGAGCGCTCCTCTGTAACATCAGCCGGGCCCCCGAGGGACGGGCAGCGCTGCTGGAGCCCTCGGGGTGAGATAAATGGGATTTTTGGGATGTTTTATGGAGATTTTGGGGTGATTTATGGGGTTTTGGGGTGTTTTATGGGGTTTGGGGGCGCTGCTCTGTAACATCAGCCGGGCCCCGGAGGGACGGGCCGCGCTGCTGGAGCCATCGGGGTGAGATTTTGGGGGGATTTATGGGGTTTTTGGGGTGTTGTATGGGGATTTTGTGGTGATTTATGGGATTTTTGTGGTGTTTTATGGGGGTTTTGGGGTGATTTATGGGGTTTTTGGGGTGATTTATGGGGTTTGGGGGCGCTGCTCTGCAGCCTCAGCCGGGCCCCGGAGGGACGGGCCGCGCTGCTGGAGCCCTCGGGGTGAGATTTTGGGGGGATTTATGGGGGTTTTGGGGTGGTTTTATGGGGATTTTGGGGTGTTTTATGGGGATTTTTGGGTGATTTATGGGGTTTTGGGGTGATTTATGGGGTTTTTGGGGTGTTTTATGGGGTCTGGGGACGCTGCTCTGCAGCCTCAGCCGGGTGCGAGAGGGACGGGCCGCGCTGCTGGAGCCATCGGGGTGAGATTTTGGGGGGATTTATGGGGTTTTGGGGTGATTTATGGGGATTTTGTGGTGATTTATGGGGTTTTGGGGTGATTTATGCGGATTTTGGGGTGATTTATGGGGTTTATGGGGATTTTGGGGTGATTTATTGGGATTTATGGGGATTTTTGGGGTGTTTTAAGGGGATTTTTGGGACGGTTTTTGTGGTGTTTTATGGGATATTTAGAATCTTTTATGGGGATTTTTTGGGGTTTTTTGGGATGTTTTATGGGGATTTTCTTTGGTTTTTTGGGTGTTTAAAGGGTTTTTTTGGGGTGTTTTATGGGGATTTTTAGGGGTTTTTTGGGATGTTCTATGAGGATTTTTGGGTGGTTTATGGGGTTTTTGGGGTGTTTTAAAGGGATTTTGGGGGAGGTTGTGTGTTTAGTAGGGATTTTTTGGGCTTTTTAAGTGGATTTTTGGGGTTTTTTGGGATGTTTTATGGGGATTTTTTTGGGGTTTTTTGGGGGTGTTTTAAGGGGATTTTTTGGGTGTTTTATGGGGATTTTTGAGGATTTTTAAGGGTGTTCTATGAGGATTTTTGGGTGTTTTATGGGGTTTTTGGGGTGTTTTAAAGGGATTTTGGGGGGGGTTGTGTGTTTAGTAGGGATTTTTTGGGCTTTTTAAGTGGATTTTTGGGGTTTTTTGGGGGTGTTTTAAGTGGATTTTTGGGGTTTTTTGGGGGTGTTTTAAGTGGATTTTTGGGGTTTTTTGGGATGTTTTAAGTGGATTTTTTGGGGTTTTTTGGGGGTGTTTTAAGGGGATTTTTTGGGGTTTTTTGGGATGTTTTATGGGGATTTTTTTGGGGGTTTTTTGGGGTGTTTTATGGGGATTTTTAGGGATTTTTAGGGGTGTTCTATGAGGATTTTTGGGTGTTTTAAGGGGATTTTTTGGGGTGTTTTGTGGGGATTTTGTGGTGATTTATGGGATTTTTGGGTGGGTTTGGGGTGTTTTATGGCGTTTTTGGGGTATTTTATGGGGATTTTTTAGGGGTATTTTATAGGGATTTTTTAGGGGGTTTTGCAGTGTTTTATGGGGTTGTTTTGGTGCTTTATGGGGTTTTTTTCCTGTGTTTTATTGGGATTTTGGGGGATTTTTGGGGGTGTTTTAAGGGGATTTTGGGGGGCTTTTTTGAGGGGTTTTTGGGGTGTTTTATGGGTTTTTTGGAGTATTTTTGTGTGTTTTAAGGGGATTTTTGGGGGGTTTTCTGTGTGGTTTATGGGGTTTTTTTGGGGTTTTTTGGGGGTTTTAAGGAGATTTTTGGAGGGTTTTTTGGGGGATTTTAAGGGGATTTTAGGGGATATTTTTTGGTGTTTTATGGGGTTTTATGGGGATTTTTGGGGTTTGTTTTTGGGGTGATTTTTGGGTGATTTTGGGTGTTTTCCGGGCGGGCGCTGTGACGTGGTGCCACAGTATATAATATAATACAAAAATAAATATCATACGTAATTAGCAGGATATAATGTAATGAAATTAATGTAATATATAATATAATATTATATAATTTTGTAATATAATATAATATAATATAATATAATATAATATAATATAATATAATATAACATAACATAACATAACATAATATAATATAATATATAATATAGAGCACTACAATATATAATACAATATAATAACGCAATATATAACGCAATCAATGTAATTGCATTACTATAATATATAGTGCAATAAAGCAGTGTAATACATAATGTAGCAAAATAAATATAATATAAAATGTAATGTAATGTAATGTAATATAATATAATATAATATAATATAATATAATATAATATAATATAATTAATACAGTATGATATAATTTAATATATAATATAATTAATATAATATAATATAATGTATTATATAACATAAAATATAATGCAATGTAATATTATATAATGTAACACAATATAATATAATGTAATATAATATAATACAATAAGATATAATTTAATATAAAGTATAATTAATATAATACAATATATTATATTACATAATATATAATATAATGTAATATAATATAATATAATATAATGTAATATAATATAATATAATATAATATAATATAATATAATATAATATAATATAATATAATATAATATAATATAATATAATATAATATAATACAATATGATTAATATGATGATGTAATATGATGTAATGTAATGTAATATAATATAATATAATATAATATAATATAATATAATATAATTAATATAATACAATATAATACAATATAATACAATATAATATATAATATAATATATAGTATAACGTAATACGATATAACGTAACACAATATAAAATAATGTAACATAATATCGGTAATTTTATGATTTTTCGAAGGATTTTTGGGTGATTTTTGGTGGTTTTTTTCTGTGGGTTTTTAAAGAATTTAGGGGTGATTTTTACAGAATTTAGGGGTGATTTTTACAGAATTTTGGGGTGATTTTTACAGAATTTTGTGGTGATTTTTACAGAATTTAGGGATGATTTTTACAGAATTTTGGGGTGATTTTTACAGAATTTAGGGGTGATTTTTACAGAATTTAGGGGTGATTTTTACAGAATTTAGGGGTGATTTTTACAGAATTTAGGGATGATTTTTACAGAATTTAGGGGTGATTTTTACAGAATTTAGGGGTGATTTTTACAGAATTTAGGGGTGATTTTTAACGAATTTTGTGGTGATTTTTACAGAATTTAGGGATGATTTTTACAGAATTTTGTGGTGATTTTTACAGAATTTTGGGGTGATTTTTACAGAATTTAGGGGTGATTTTTACAGAATTTTGGGGTGATTTTTACAGAATTTTGGGGTGATTTTTACAGAATTTTGGGGTGATTTTTAAAGAATTTAGGGATGATTTTTACAGAATTTTGGGGTGATTTTTTACAGAATTTTGGGGTGATTTTTACAGATTTTTGGGGTGATTTTTACAGAATTTAGGGGTGATTTTTACAGAATTTTGGGGTGATTTTTACAGAATTTAGGGGTGATTTTTACAGAATTTAGGGGTGATTTTTACAGAATTTTGGGGTGATTTTTACAGAATTTTGGGGTGATTTTTTACAGAATTTTGGGGTGATTTTTACAGAATTTAGGGGTGATTTTTACAGAATTTAGTGGTGATTTTTTACAGAATTTTGGGGTGATTTTTACAGAATTTTGGGTGATTTTTAACGAATTTTGGGGTGATTTTTACAGAATTTTGGGGTGATTTTTACAGAATTTAGGGGTGATTTTTACAGAATTTTGAGGTGATTTTTACAGAATTTTTGGGTGATTTTTACAGAATTTTGGGGTGATTTTTACAGAATTTTGAGGTGATTTTTACAGAATTTTGTGGTGATTTTTACAGAATTTAGGGGTGATTTTTAACGAATTTTGGGGTGATTTTTACAGAATTTAGAGGTGATTTTTAACGAATTTTGGGGTGATTTTTACAGAATTTTGGGGTGATTTTTACAGAATTTTGCGGTGATTTTTACAGAATTTTGCGGTGATTTTTACAGAATTTTGCGGTAATTTTTAACGAATTTTGGGGTGATTTTTACAGAATTTTGGGGTGATTTTTACAGAATTTTGTGGTGATTTTTACAGAATTTTGTGGGTGATTTTTACAGAATTTTGGGGTAATTTTGGGTGTTTTTGGCTGTTCCAGGCGGGCTCTGCGGCGGCTCCTGGCCCTGGTTGGGAGCCCAAATTCGGCGTCGCTGCGCAGAGGAGCCGTGGGAGCGCTCAGGAATTGCTGCTTCCAGCACGGTAAAAATCCAAAATTCCCGGCTTTTCCCTCAAATTTTTAGGGAATTTTTTATAGGAATTTTTGGGGGTTTTTATTTGTTTGGTTTTGGGATTTTTTTCGACATTTTTGGGGGATTTTTTGTGAATATTTTGGGATTTTTTGTGATTATTTTGTGATTTTTTTCTGATTTTTTTGCGATTATTTTATCCATTTTTGTGAATATTTTGGGGATTTTGTGTTTTTTGGGTTTTTTTCCTTTGAAAACATTTAGAGAATTTTTGGGTTTGGTTGGGGTTTTTTCTGATTATTTTGTGGTTTTTTGTGATTATTTTGGGATTTTTTGTGATTATTTTGTGATTTTTTTGCGATTATTTTATCAATTTTTGTGAATATTTTGTGATTTTTGGGGTTTTTTTCTTTGAAAAATGTAGAGAATTTTTGGGTTTGATTGGGGTTTTTTCTGATTATTTTGTGAGTTTTTTGTGATTATTTTGTGATTTTTTTGCGATTATTTTATCAATTTTTGTGAATATTTTGCGATTTTGGGGGTTTTTTTTTATATTTACAGATTGGGTTGGTTTTTTTTTAATATTTACAGAAATTTTGGGTTTGAGGATTTTTGGGGGTTTTCGGGCTTTTCTCAGAATATTTTGGGATTTTTTGTGAATATTTTGGGATTTTTTGGTGATTATTTTGTGATTTTTTGCGATTATTTTGTGATTTTTTGCGATTATTTTATCAATTTTTGTGAATATTTTGGGGATTTTGTGTTTTTTGGGGTTTTTTTCTTTGAAAACATTTAGAGAATTTTTGGGTTTGGTTGGGTTTTTTTCTGATTATTTTGTGAGTTTTTTGTGATTATTTTGTGATTTTTTTTTGTGATTATTTTGTGATTTTTTTGTGATTATTTTATCAATTTTGGTGAATATTTTGTGATTTTTGGGGTTTTTTTTCTTTGAAAATATTTAGAGGATTTTTGGGTTTGAGGATTTTGGGTTTTTTTTGGGTTTTTTCTGATTATTTTGGGCTTTTTTGTGATTATTTTATGATTTTTTGTGATTATCAATTTTTGTGAATATTTTGTGATTTTTGGGTTTTTTTTCTTTGAAAATATTTAGAGAATTTTTGGGTTTGAGGATTGGGGGTTTGGGGGTTTTCTCAGAATATTTTTGGCTGTTTTGTGAATATTTTGTGATTATTTTATGATTATTTTATCCGTTTTTGTGAATATTTTGTGATTTTGGGGGGTTTTTTTAATATTTACAGAAATTTTGGGTTTGAGGATTTTTGGGGGTTTTCGGGCTTTTCTCAGAATATTTTGGGATTTTTTGTGAATATTTTGTGATTTTTCTGTGATTATTTTGTGATTTTTTTGTGATTATTTTATCAATTTTGGTGAATATTTTGTGATTTTGGGGGCTTTTTTCTTTGAAAATATTTAGAGAATTTTTGGGTTTGAGGATTTTTGGGGGTTTTCGGGGTTTTCTCAGAATATTTTGGGATTTTTTTGTGCATATTTTATTATTTTTTGGGGGTATTTTTGAAAATATTTAGAGAATTTTTGGGTTTGTGGTTTTGTTTGGGGATTTTTGGGGTTTTTTGGGAATTTTGGGGATTTTTGAGATTTTTGGGGGGATTTTTTAATAATTTTTGGGTTTGTGGTTTTGGTTTGTTTTGGGATTTTTTGGATGTTTCTTTGTGAACATTTTTGGATTTTGGGGGGATTTTTTTGTGAATATTTTGTGATTTTTTTGTGATTATTTTATGATTTTTTTGTGAATATTTTGTGATCTTTTGGGGGTATTTTTTGAGAATATTTAGAGAATTTTTGGGTTTGTGGTTTTTGTTTGGGGATTTTTGGGGTTTTTTGGGAATATTTTGGGATTTTTGAGGGATTTTTTGGAGAATTTTTTGGGTTTGTGGTTAAAAATCCTGGAATTTTGTGGAATCCTCTTAAAAATCCTGGAATTCCATTGAAATCCCAACTAAAATCCTGGAATTCCGTGGAATCCTCTTAAAAATCCTGGAATTTCTTGGAATCCTGACTAAAATAATGGAATTTCATTGAAATCCCATCTAAAATCCAGGAATTTTTTGGAATCCTGTTAAAAATCCTGGAATTTCTTGGAATCCCAACTGAAATCCTGGAATTTCATTAAAATCCCAGCTAAATTCCAGGAATTCCAGGCTGGAATCCCAACTGAAATCCTGGAATTTCATTAAAATCCCAGCTAAAATTTTGTAATTCCATGGAATTCTGACTGAAATCCTGGAATTTCATTAAAATCCCAGCTAAATTCCTGGAATTTCAGGCTGAAATCCCATCTAAAATGCTGGAATTTCTTGGAATCCTACTAAAAATCCTGGAATTACAGAGAATCCTATTAAAAATCCTGGAATTTCATGGAATCCTACTAAAAATCCTGGAATTCCTTGGAATCCCATCTAAAATCGTGAAATTCCCAAGAATTCTACTAAAAATCCTGGAATTCCTTGGAATCCCAGCTGAAATTCTGGAATTGCAGAGAATCCTACTAAAAATCCTGGAATTCCAGGCTGGAATCCTCTTAAAAATCCTGGAATTTCATTGAAATCCCAGCTGAAATCCTGGAATTCCATGGAATCCTCTTAAAAATCCTGGAATTCCATGGAATCCTGACTAAAATTCTGGAATTCCATTGAAATCCCAACTAAAATCCTGGAATTCCATGGAATCCCGACTAAAATCCTGGAATTCCATGAAATCCCAACTAAAATCCTGGAATTTCTTGGAATCCCAAATAAAATCCTGGAATTCCGTGGAATCCTGACTAAAATCCTGGAATTCCTTGGAATCCCAAATAAAATCCTGGAATTTCATTAAAATCCCATCTAAAATCCAGGAATTTTTTGGAATCACAACTGAAATCCTGGAATTTCATTAAAATCCCAGCTAAAATCCTGGAATTTCAGGCTGAAATCCCATCTAAAATGCTGGAATTTCTTGGAATCCTACTAAAAATCCTGGAATTACAGAAAATCCTATTAAAAATCCTGGAATTCTATGGAATCCCGACTAAAATCCTGGAATTCCAGAGAATCCTATTAAAAATCCTGGAATTCTATGGAATCCCGACTAAAATCCTGGAATTCCAGAGAATCCTACTAAAAATCCTGGAATTCCATGGAATCCTGACTAAAATTCTGGAATTCCTCGGAATCCCAACGAAAATCCTGGAATTCCGTGGAATCCTCTTTAAAATCCTGGAATTCCATGGAATTCTCTTAAAAATCCTGGAATTCCATTGAAATCCCAACTAAAATCCTGGAATTTCTTGGAATCCTACTAAAAATCCTGGAATTACAGAGAATCCTATTAAAAATCCTGGAATTCCTTGGAATCCCAACTGAAATCCTGGATTTCCATGGAATCCCAAATAAAATCCTGGAATTCCGTGGAATCCCAACTAAAATCCCGTAATTCATCGGAATCCCAAATAAAATCCTGGAATTCCGTGGAATCCTGACTAAAATTCTGGAATTCCATTGAAATCCCAACTAAAATCCTGGAATTCCGTGGAATCCTCTTAAAAATCCTGGAATTCCATTGAAATCCCAACTAAAATCCTGGAATTTTGTGGAATCCCGACTAAAATCCCGTAATTCCTCGGAATCCCAAATAAAATCCTGGAATTCTGTGGAATCCCAACTAAAATTCTGGAATTCCATTGAAATCCCAACTAAAATTCTGGAATTCCATGGAATCCTCTTAAAAATCCTGGAATTCCATTGAAATCCCAACTAAAATCCTGGAATTTCGTGGAATCTTGACTAAAATCCTGTAATTCCATGGAATCCTCTTAAAAATCCTGGAATTCCTCAGAATCCCAAGTAAAATCCTGGAATTCCTCAGAATCCCAACTAAAATCCTGGTATTCCATTGAAATCCCAACTAAAATCCTGGAATTCCCAAGAATTCTACTAAAAATCCTGGAATTCCTTGGAATCTCAACTAAAATCCCGTAATTCATCGAAATCCCAACTAAAATCCTGTAATTCCATTGAAATCCCATCTAAAATCCTGGAATTCCTCAGAATCCCAACTAAAATCCTGGAATTTCTTGGAATCCCTAATAAAATCCTGGGATTCCATGGATTCTTGACTAAAATTCTGGAAATCCATTGAAATCCCAACTAAATTCCTGTAATTTTGTGGAATCCTCTTAAAAATCCTGGAATTCCGTGGGATCCCGGATGGGAGAAGAAGGAACCGCCTCGTGTTGGGAATTTTTGGGAATATTCCCTTGGAATTTATGGAATTCCGGGCTGGAATTCCAAACATTCCCGAAATTCCGGGCTGGAATTCCAAAGATTCCCAAAATTCCGTGAGGGCGGAGCCAGGGGGAGGGAGAAAAGCAGGAAGGGGGTGGGGGAAAAAAAACCCGAAATTTTTTTGGGGAAAATCCGCCTGGATCCCGTTCCTGGGTTTGTGGGCGGGGTTGGGAACGTCAGGAGGAGATTCCCGGAGAATTCCCGCGGAATTCCCAAAGAATTCCCGGAATTCTTCCCAGAGAACCACGAGCGGCTGCTGAGCCCCGAGGTGGACGCGCTGCCGCCGCTGCTGCTGCCGCTGGCCGGCCCCGAGGAGCTCCCCGAGGAGGAGATGGAGCGTGAGTGGCTTTTCCCGGGGGTTTTTTTTGGGAATTTTCGGGAATTTCCCAAATTTCCTGAGGGTTTTTTTCCCGTTGCAGAACTTCCCGTGGATCTGCAGTACCTCCCCCCGGAGCACCGGCGCGAAGAGGAGCCCGAGATCCGCAAGATGCTGCTGGAGACGCTGATGCTGGTGGGGCCTTTTGGGGTTCCCTCAGGAATTTTGGGGGGTTCCATGAGGAATTTTGGGGTTTTCGAGAGTTCCTTGAGGAATTTTGGGAGTTCATAGAGGATTATTGGGGGTTCGATGAGGAATTTAGGGGGTTCCATGAGGAATTTTGCGGTTTTTGGGAGTTCCTTGAGGAATTCCTTGAGGAATTTTGGGGTTTTTGGGAATTCCTTGAGGAATTTCTGGGGTTCCTTGAGGAATTTTGGGGGTTCCTTGAGGAATTTTGGGGGTTTTGAGAGTTCCTTGAGGAATTTTGGGAGTTCCTTGAGGAATTTTGGGGTTTTTGGGAGTTCCTTGAGGAATTTTGGGAGTTCCTTGAGGAATTTTGGGGTTCTTTCAGGAATTTTGGGGGTTCCTTGAGGAATTTTGGGGTTTTTGAGAGTTCCTTGAGGAATTTCTGGGGTTTGATGAGGAATTTGGGGTTCTTTCAGGAATTTTGGGGGTTCCTTGAGGATTTCGGGGGTTCCATGAGGAATTTTGGGATCCCATGAAGAATTTTCGGTTTCTTGGAGAAATTTTGGGTTTTCCTGAGGATTTTGGGGGTTCCATGAGGAATTTTGGGGTTTCCCTGAGGATTTTTGGGATTTCTTGAGGAATTTTTGGGGTTTTCTGAGGCTTTTTGGGTTTCCTCAAGGAATTTTGGGGTTTTTGGGAGTTCCTTGAGGAATTTCTGGGGTTTGATGAGGAATTTTGGGGGTTAGATGAGAAATTCTGGGGTTCCTTCAGGAATTTTGGGGTTCCTTCAGGAATTTTGGGGTTTCTTCAGGATTTTTGGGTTTCCTTGAGAAATTTTGGGGGTTAGATGAGAAATTTTGGGGTTCCTTCAGGAATTTTGGGGTTTCTTCAGGATTTTTGGGTTTCTTTGGCGAATTTTGGGTTTCCTTGAGAAATTTTGGGGGTTAGATGAGAAATTTTGGGGTTCCTTCAGGAATTTTGGGGTTTCTTCAGGATTTTTGGGTTTCTTTGGCGAATTTTGGGTTTCTTTGAGGAATTTTGGGGGTTAGATGAGAAATTTTGGGTTTCCTCGAGGAATTTTGGGGTTCCCTGAGGATTTTTGGGTTTCTTTGAGGAATTTTGGGGGTTAGATGAGAAATTCTGGGATTCCTTCAGGAATTTTGGGGGATCCCTGAGGATTTTTGGGTTTCTTTGAGGAATTTTGGGCGTTCCCTGAGGAATTTTGGGATCCCATAAAGAATTTTCACCTTCTTGGAGAAATTTTGGGTTTCCTCAAGGAATTTTGGGCATTCCCTGAGGATTTTTGGGTTTCCTTGAGGAATTTTGGGGTTCCATGAGGATTTTTGGGTTTTCTTGAGGAATTTTGGGGTTTCTTGAGGATTTTTGGGAGTTCCTTGAGGAATTCTTTGGGTTCCATGAGGAATTTTGGGGGTTCCTGAGGATTATTTGGGGGTTCCTTGAAGAATTTGGGGGTTCTGTGAGGAATTTTGGGGGTTCCATGAGGAATTTTGGGGTTTTTGGGAGTTCCTTGAGGAATTTTGGGGGTTAGATGAGAAATTTCGGGGTTCCTTCAAGAATTTTGGGCGTTCCCTGAGGATTTTTGGGTTTTCTTGAGAAATTTTTGGGGTTCCGTGAGGATTTTTGGGGTTTCTTGAGGAATTCTGGGCGTTCCCTGAGAAATTTTTGGATCCCATGAAGAATTTTCGGCTTCTTGGAGAAATTTTGGGGCTCCTCAAGGAATTTTGGGCGTTCCCTGAGGATTTTTGGGTTTCTTTGAGGAATTTTGGGGGTTAGATGATAAATTCTGGGGTTCCTTCAGGAATTTTGGGGTTCCTTCAGGATTTTTGGGATCCCATGAAGAATTTTTGGCTTCTTGGAGAAATTTTGGGTTTCCTTCAGGAATTTTGGGGGATCCCTGAGGATTTTTGGGTTTCCTCGCCGACATTTCAAACCTCTCATTGTCCCCCAACAATTCCGCCCTTTCCACCCCAAATTTCACTACCAAATCCAGATTTTTTTGGGTTCTTTGTGGAATTTTGGCTTCCACCGACCGCGGGGATCCCAAAAAATTCCCGAATTTTCTCTCGGAGCAGCTGGCGGCCACCAGGGCGGGGCGGCAGCAGCTGCGGCGCCGCGGTTCCTACCTGGTCCTGCGGGAGCTGCACGGCTGGGAGCGGCACCCCGAGGTGCTCGGCGCCTGCGAGAAGCTGATCCAGGTGAGACGCGGCTCCGGAACGTTCCCGGCGCGGTTCTGGAACGTTCCCGGCGCGGTTCTGGAACGTTCCCGGTGCAGTTCCAGAACGTTCCCGACGCGGTTCCGGAACATTCCCAGTGTGGTTCTGGCGTTCCCAGTGCAGTTCCAGAACCTTCCCGGCAAGGTTCCGGAACATTCCTGGCTCGGTTCCAGAACGTTCCCAGTGCGGTTCTGGCGTTCCCGGCGCGGTTCTGGAATGTTCCCGGCGCGGTTCCGAAATGTTCCCAGTGCGGTTCTGGAACATTCCTGGTATGGTTCTGGAGTTGCTGGCGTGGTTCCGGCATTCCTGGTGCAGTTCCGGAATGTTCCCGGCATGGTTTCGGCACGTTTCTGGCGCGGTTCTGGAACATTCCCGGCGCAGTTCCGGAACGTTCCTGGCGCGGTTCTGGAACACTCTCGGTGCGGTTCTGGAATGTTCCCGGCGCCGTTCCAGAACATTCCCAGCGCGGTTCCGGAACATTTCCAGTGCGGTTCCAGAACGTTCCCAATGTGGTTCTGGCGTTGCTGGCGTGGTTCCGGAACGTTCTCGGCGCGGTTCTGGAACATTCCCAGTGTGGTTCTGGCGTTCCCGGTGCAGTTCCAGAACATTCCCAGCACAGTTCTGGAACATTCCTGGTGTGGTTCCGGCGTTCCCAGTGTGGTTCTGGTGTTCCTGGCGCGGTTCCAGAACGTTCCCGGTGCAGTTCTGGAACATTCCCGGCACCGTTCCGGAACGTTCCCGGTGTGGTTCTGGCACATTCCTGGGGCAGTTGTGGAACATTCCCGGCGCGGTTCCAGAATGCTCCCGGTGAGGTTCCGGAACGTTCCCGGCGCGGTTCTGGAACGTTCCTGGCGTGGTTCCAGAACATTCCCGGCACGGTTCCGGAATGTTCCCAGCAGTGTTCCAGAACGTTCCTGGCGCGGTTCCGGAATGTTCCTGGTGTGGTTCTGGAGTTGCTGGTGCGGTTATGGTGTTCCCAGTGCGGTTCCAGCGCGGTTCCAGCACATTCCCGGTGCAGTTCCGGCACATTCCCAGCACGGTTCCGGCACGTTCCCTTCACGGTTCCGGAACATTCCCGGCACGGTTCTGGAACATTCCCATTCCGGAAAGTTCCCGGTGCAGTTCCAGAACATTCCCAGCGCGGTTCCGGAACATTCCCTTCGTGGTTCCAGAACATTCCCGGCGCGGTTCTGGAACATTCCCGGCGTGGTTTCGGCACATTCCCTTCACGGTTCTGGAAAGTTCCTGGCGCCGTTCCGGAACATTCCCGGCGCAGTTCCAGAACATTTCCGGTGTGGTTCCAGAACATTCCCTTGGCGGTTCTGGAACATTCCCGGCGCAGTTCCGGAACATTCCCAGCACAGTTCTGTCACATTCCCTTTGCGGTTCCGGAACATTCCCGGCACCATTCCAGAACATTCCCAGCGCAGTTCCGGAACATTCCCTTGGCGGTTCTGGAACATTCCCGGCGCGGTTCCGGAACATTCCTGGCATGATTCTGGAACATTCCCGGCACAGTTCCGGAACATTCCCGGCTCAGTTCTGGAACATTCCCGGCACGGTTCCGGAACGTTCCCGGCGCAGTTCCGGAACGTTCCTGGCGCTGTTCCGGAACATTCCCAGCACAGTTCTGTCACATTCCCAGCTCAGTTCCGGAACATTCCCGGCGCGGTTCCGGAACATTCCCTGCACAGTTCTGGAACATTCCCGTCGCGGCTCCGGAACATTCCCAGCGCGGTTCCGGAACGTTCCCGGTGCCATTCCGGAATGTTCCCAGCAGTGTTCCAGAACATTCCCGGCACAGCTCCAGTGTTGCCGGCGCGGTTCCAGAACATTCCTGGGGCGGTTCTAGAACATTCCCGTTCCGGAAAGTTCCCAGCACTGTTCCGGAACATTCCCGGCGCGGTTCCAGCACATTCCCAGTGCAGTTCCAGAATGTTCCCGGCACGGTTCTGGAATGTTCCTTGCGTGGTTCTGGAACATTCCCGGCGCGGTTCCAGAACATTCCCGGTGCGGTTCCGGCACATTCCCAGCGTGGTTCCGGAACATTCCCAGCGCGGTTGCGGAACATTCCTGGTGTGGTTCTGGTGTTGCCGGTGCGGTTCTGGCATTCCCAGTGCGGTTCTGGAATGTTCCCATCGCGGTTCCGGAAAGTTCCTGGCGTGGTTCTGGAACATTCCCGGCGCAGTTCTGGAACATTCCCTTTGTGATTCCGGAACATTCCCTTTGCGGTTCTGGAACATTTCCGGCGCGGTTCCGGAACATTCCCAGCGCGGTTCCGGAACATTCCGGAACATTCCCAGCACTGTTCCAGCACATTCCCAGCACTGTTCCAGCACATTCCCGGCGCGGTTCCAGAATGTTCCCGGCGCGGTTCCAGCACATTCCCGGCACAGTTCTCGGCGCGGTTCCGGAACAGTTCTGGAACATTCCCGGTGTGGTTCTGGAACATTCCCGGCACAGTTCCAGAACATTCCTGGCGCGGTTCTGGAACATTCCTGGCGTGGTCCTGGCACGTTCCCGGTGCGTTGCCGGTGCGGTTCCGGAACATTCCTGGCTCAGTTCCGTAACATTCCTGGCGCGGTTCCAAAACGTTCCTGGCGCGGTTCCGGAATGTTCCCGGTGCGGTTCCAGAACGTTCCTGTCACGGTTCTGGTGTTCCTGGCACAGTTCCAGAATGTTCCCGGCACGGTTCCGAAACGTTCCTGGCATGGTTCTGGAACGTTCCTAGCGCGGTTCCAGAACATTCCTGGCACGGTTCCAGAATGTTCCCAGTGTGGTTCCGGCACATTCCCGGCGAGGTTCCGGAACATTCCTGGCGCGTTTCTGTTATTCCCGGTGTGGTTCCGGAACATTCCTGGCACGGTTCCGGAACATTCCCGGCACGGTTCCGTCACATTCCCGGCGCGGTTCTGGAACATTCCCAGCGCGGTTCCGGCACATTCCCGGCGCGGTTCCGGAACATTCCCAGTGCTGTTCCGGCACATTCCTGGCACAGTTCCAGAACATTCCTGGTGTGGTTCCAGAACATTCCCGGCGCGGTTCCGGAACATGCCCGGCGCGGTTCTGGCACATTCCCAGCACTGTTCCAGAACATTCCTGGCACGGTTCTGGAACATTCCCGGCGCGGTTCCGGAATATTCCCGGCACAGTTCCGGAACATTCCCGGCGTGGTTCCAGGCGTTCCTGGCACGGTTCAGGAATGTTCCTGGCGCGGTTCTGGAACATTCCCTTTGCGGTTCCGGAACATTCCCGGCACGGTTCCAGAACATTTGTGGCACAGTTCCGGAACGTTCCCGGTGCGTTTCCAGAACATTCCCGGCGCGGTTCTGGCACATTCCCGGCGTGGTTCCGGCACATTCCCGGCGCGGTTTTGGAATGTTCCTGGCGCTGTTCCAGAACATTCCCTGGTGCAGTTCCAGAACATTCCCGTTTCAGAACGTTCCCAGCACTGTTCCGGAACATTCCCGGCGCAGTTCCAGCACATTCCCAGCACAGTTCCGGAACATTCCTGGCGCGGTTCCGGCACATTCCCGACGCCGTTCCGGAACATTCCCGGCACTGTTCCGGCACATTCCCGGCGCGGTTCCGGACCATTCCAGGCGCGGTTCCGGAACATTCCCGGCGTGGTTCTGGAACATTCCCGGCGCAGTTCTGGAACATTCCCTTTGTGATTCCGGAACATTCCCTTTGCGGTTCTGGAACATTTCCGGCGCGGTTCCGGAACATTCCCAGCGCGGTTCCGGAACATTCCGGAACATTCCCAGCACTGTTCCAGCACATTCCCAGCACTGTTCCAGCACATTCCCGGCGCGGTTCCAGAATGTTCCCGGCGCGGTTCCAGCACATTCCCGGCACAGTTCTCGGCGCGGTTCCGGAACAGTTCTGGAACATTCCCGGTGTGGTTCTGGAACATTCCCGGCACAGTTCCAGAACATTCCTGGCGCGGTTCTGGAACATTCCTGGCGTGGTCCTGGCACGTTCCCGGTGCGTTGCCGGTGCGGTTCCGGAACATTCCTGGCTCAGTTCCGGAACATTCCTGGCGCGGTTCCGGCACATTCCCGACGCCGTTCCGGAACATTCCCGGCACTGTTCCGGCACATTCCCGGCGCGGTTCCGGACCATTCCAGGCGCGGTTCCGGAACATTCCCGGCGTGGTTCTGGAACATTCCCGGCACGGTTCCAGCACAGTTCCGGCACATTCCCAGTGCGGTTCCGGCACATTCTCGGCGCGGTTCCAGAACATTCCCAGTGCAGTTCCAGAACATTCCCGGTGCAGTTCTGGAACATTCGTGGCACAGTTCCGTAACGTTCCTGGCACAGTTCCCGGCGCGGTTCCGGAACATTCCAGGCGCGGTTCCGGCACATTCCCGGTGCGGTTCCGGACCGCTGTCGGTGTCCCGCAGGTGCTGATCGGGGAGGAACCGGAGGCGGCCATGGAGAACCTCCTGGAGGTGACAATCCCACCGGAGCTGCAGCGGCGCTTCACCCAGATGGACGCCCAGGAGGAGGAGCACAGGAGGAAGGAGCGGATGGACACGGACGGGTGACACCAGAACGTCACCGGAACGTCACCAGAACGTCACCGAGAGGGACAACGGGGTGGCTTTGTGGTGGCAATGGCGCAGTGTCCCCAAAAAGCCACCGCGGTGACCATGGGGTGTCCATAAAGAACCATCTTGGTGACAATGGGATGTCCCCAAAAAGCCACCACGGTGGCAATGGGATGATGTCCCCAAAGGCCACCACGGTGACCATGGGGTGTCCATAAAGAACCATCGTGGTGACAATGGGGTGTCACCAAGGGCCACCACAGTGACCATGAGAAGTTCTCAAGGGCTGAGTGGTGACAATGGGACAATGTCCCCAAAAAACCATTTTGGTGACAATGGGACGATGTCCCCAAAAAGCCACCACGGTGACAATGGGGTGTCCATAAAGAACCATTTTGGTGACAATGGGGTGTCCCCAAGGGCCACCACAGTGACAGTGAGATGTTCCCAAAAAAGCCACCGGGGTGACAATGGAATGTCCCCAAGGGCCACCATGGTGACCATGAGATGTTCTCAAGGGCTGATTGGTGGCAATGGGACGGTGTCCCCAAAAAGCCACCGTGGTGACAATTGGATGGCCGTGAAAGTCATCGTGGTGACAATGGGACGGTGTCCCCAAAAAGCCACCGCAGTGACCATGGGGTGTCCATAAAGAACCATTTTGGTGACAATTGGATGACGGTGAAGGTCATCGTGGTGACAATGGGACAATGTCCCCAAAGGCCACCACGGTGACCATGAGATGTCCCCAAAAAGCCACCATGGTGACAATTGGATGGCTGTGAAAGTCATTGTGGTGGCAATGGGATGGTGTCCCCAAAAAGCCACCACGGTGACAATTGGATGGGCACAAAAAGAACCATTTTGGTGACAACGGGGTGTCCCCAAGGGCCACCACAGTGACAATGAGATGATGTCCCCAAGGGCCACCACAGTGACAATTGGATGACCATGAAGGTCATCGTGGTGACATTGGGACGATGTCCCCAAAAAGCCACCGGGGTGACAATGGGGTGTCCATAAAGAGCCATTTTGGTGACAATGGAATGTCCCCAAGGAGCCACCACGGTGACAATGGGGTGTCCATAAAGAACCATTTTGGTGACAGTGGAATGATGTCCCCAAAGGCCACCACAGTGACCATGAGATGTTCTCAAGCACCAAATGGTGACAATGGGACGGTGTCCCCAAAAAGCCACCACGGTGACAATGGGGTGGCCCCAAAAGCCACCACAGTGACAATGGGGTGGCCATAAAGAGCCATTTTGGTGACAATGGGGTGTCCCCAAGGGCCACCACGGTGACCATGAGATGTTCTCAAAGGCCAAGTGGTGACAATGGGACAATGTCCCCAAAAAGCCACCACGGTGACCATGAGATGTCCCCAAAAAGCCACCGCGGTGACAATTGGATGGAACAAAAAGAACCATTTTGGTGACAGTGAGATGTCCCCAAGGGCCACCACAGTGACCATGAGATGATGTCCCTAAAACGCCACCATGGTGACAACAGGGTGGCCATGAAGGTCATCATGGTGACAATGGGACAATGTCCCCAAAAAGCCACCGCGGTGACAATGGGGTGCCCCTGAGGGTCATTGTGGTGGCAATGGCGTGGTGTCTCCAAGGGCCACCACAGTGACAATGGGGTGTCCATAAAGAACCATTTTGGTGACAATGGGGTGTCCCCAAGGAGCCATTGACGTGACCATGAGATGTCCCCAAAAAGCCACCGCGGTGACAGTGGGGTGTCCCCAAGGGCCACCGAGGTGCCCATGAGATGTTCTCAAGGACCAAGTGGTGACAATGGGACAGTGTCCCCAAAAAGCCACCACAGTGACCATGGGGTGTCCATAAAGAACCACCTTGGTGACAATGGGGTGTCCCCAAGGAGCCACTGAGGTGACCATGAGATGTCCCCAAAAAGCCACCACAGTGACATTGGAGTGTCCTCGAGGTGACAATTGGATGACCATGAAGGTCATCGTGGTGGCAATGGGACAATGTCCCCAAAAAGCCACCACGGTGACAATGGGGCATCCATAAAGAGCCATTTTGGTGACAATGGGGTGTCCCCAAGGGCCACCACGGTGACCATGAGATGTCCCCAAAAAAGCCACTGCGGTGACAATTGGATGGCCGTGAAGGTCATCGTGGTGACAATGGGACAATGTCCCCAAAAGCCACCACGGTGACAATGGGGTGTCCATAAAGAACCATCATGGTGACAATGGGACAGTGTCCCCAAGGGCCACCACGGTGACCATGAGATGTTCTCAAAGGCCGAGTGGTGACAATGGGACGATGTCCCCAAAAAGCCACCATGGTGACAATGGGGTGTCCTCGAGGTGACAGTGGGGTGGCCCTGAGGGTCATCGTGGTGACAATGGGACAATGTCCCCAAAAACCCACCACAGTGACACTGGAGTGTCCTCGAGGTGACAATGGGGTGGCCCTGAGGGTCATTGTGGTGATAATGGGACAATGTCCCCAAAAAGCCACCAGGGTGACAATGGGGTGTCCATAAAGAACCACCTTGGTGACAATGGGATGATGTCCCCAAAAAGCCACCACGGTGACACTGGAGTGTCCTCGAGGTGACAGTGGGGTGGCCCTGAGGGTCATCGTGGTGACAATGGGACGATGTCCCCAAAAAGCCACCGGGGTGACCATGGGGTGTCCATAAAGAACCATTTTGGTGACAATGGGGTGTCCCCAAGGGCCACCGTGGTGACAGTGAGATGTTCTCAAGCACCAAGTGGTGGCAATGGGACAATGTCCCCAAAAAGCCACCACGGTGACACTGGGGTGTCCATAAAGAACCATTTTGGTGACAATGGGGTGTCCCCAAGGGCCACCGTGGTGACAATGGGACGATGTCCCCAAAAAGCCACCATGGTGACACTGGAGTGTCCTCGAGGTGACAATGGGGTGGCCCTGAGGGTCATCGTGGTGACAATGGGACGGTGTCCCCAAAAAGCCACCATGGCGGTGACCATGGGGTGTCCATAAAGAACCATTTTGGTGACAATGGGGTGTCCCCAAAAAAGCCACCATGGTGACAGTGAGATGTCCCCAAAGGTCACCATGGTGACAATTGGATGGCCCTGAGGGCCATCGTGGTGGCAATGGGACGGTGTCCCCAAAAAGCCACCGGGGTGACAACGGGGTGTCCATAAAGAACCATCGTGGTGACAATGGGGTGTCCCCAAGGGCCACCGTGGTGACAGTGAGATGTCCCCAAAAAGCCACCGCGGTGACAATTGGATGGACACAAAAAGAACCATTTTGGTGACAATGGGACGATGTCCCCAAAAAGCCACCACAGTGACAATGGGGTGTCCCCAAGGGCCACCACGGTGACCATGAGATGTTCTCAAGGACCAAGTGGTGACAATGGGACAATGTCCCCAAGAAGCCACCGGGGTGACACTGGGGTGTCCTCGAGGTGACAGTGGGGTGGCCCTGAGGGTCATCGTGGTGACAATGGGACGATGTCCCCAAAGGCCACCACGGTGACAATGGGGTGTCCATAAAGAACCATTTTGGTGACAATGGGGTGTCACCAAGGGCCACCACAGTGACCATGAGAAGTTCTCAAGGGCTGAGTGGTGACAATGGGACAATGTCCCCAAAAAGCCACCGCGGTGACAATGGGGTGTCCCCAAGGGCCACCACGGTGACCATGAGATGTCCCCAAAAAGCCACCGCAGTGACAATGAGATGATGTCTCCAAGGGCCACCGAGGTGACCATGAGATGTTCTCAAGCACCAAGTGGTGACAATGGAATGTCCCCAAAAAGCCACCACAGTGACCATGGGGTGTCCATAAAGGACCATTTTGGTGACAATTGGATGGCCGTGAAGGTCATCGTGGTGGCAATGGGACAGTGTCCCCAAAAAGCCACCACAGTGACCATGGGATGTCCATAAAGAGCCATTTTGGTGACAATTGGATGGCCCTGAGGGTCATCGTGGTGGCAATGGGACGATGTCCCCAAAAAGCCACCGTGGTGACAATGGGGTGTCCATAAAGAACCATCGTGGTGACAATGGGGTGTCCCCAAAGAGCCACTGAGGTGACCATGAGATGTCCCCAAAAAGCCACCGCAGTGACAATTGGATGTCCCCAAGGGCCACCACGGTGACCATGAGATGTTCTCAAGGACCAAGTGGTGGCAATGGGACGGTGTCCCCAAAAAGCCACCACAGTGACAATGGGGTGTCCATAAAGAACCATCGTGGTGACACTGGAGTGTCCTCGAGGTGACAATGGGGTGGCCCTGAGGGTCATCGTGGTGACAATGGGACGGTGTCCCCAAAAAGCCACCACGGTGACAATTGGATGGACACAAAAAAAAACATTTTAGGGACAATGGGGTGTCCCCAAGGGCCACCACGGTGACCATGAGATGTTCTCAAGGGCCAGGTGGTGGCAATGGCGCAGTGTCCCCAAAAAGCCACCGTGGTGACCATGGGGTGTCCATAAAGAACCATTTTGGTGACAATTGGATGGCCCTGAAGGTCATCGTGGTGGCAATGGGACAGTGTCCCCAAGGGCCACCACGGTGACAATGAGATGTCCCCAAAAAGCCACCACGGTGACAATTGGATGGACACAAAAAGAACCATTTTGGTGACAATGGGACAATGTCCCCAAGGGTCACCACAGTGACAATGGGGTGTCCCCAAGGGCCACCACAGTGACCATGAGATGTTCTCAAGGACCAAACGGTGGCAATGGGACGATGTCCCCAAAAAGCCACCGCGGTGACCATGGGGTGTCCTCGAGGTGACAGCGGGGTGGCCCTGAGGGTCATCGTGGTGACAATGGGACGATGTCCCCAAAAAGCCACCACGGTGACAATGGGGTGTCCATAAAGAACCATTTTGGTGACAATGGGATGTCCCCAAGAGCCACCACGGTGACAATGGGGTGTCCCCAAGGGCCACCATGGTGACCATGAGATGTTCTCAAGGGCCAAGTGGTGACAATGGGACGATGTCCCCAAAAAGCCACCGCGGTGACAATGGGGTGTCCATAAAGAACCATCATGGTGACAATTGGATGGCCGTGAAGGTCATCGTGGTGGCAATGGGACGGTGTCCCCAAAGAGCCACCACGGTGACACTGGGGTGTCCATAAAGAGCCACCACGGTGACAATGGGGTGTCCATAAAGAGCCATTTTGGTGACAATGAGGTGTCCCCAAGGGCCACCACGGTGACCATGAGATGTCCCCAAAAAAGCCACTGCGGTGACAATTGGATGGCCGTGAAGGTCATCGTGGTGACAATGGGACAATGTCCCCAAAAAGCCACCACAGTGACAATGGGGTGTCCATAAAGAACCATTTTGGTGACAATGGGGTGTCCCCAAGGGCCACCACGGTGACCATGAGATGTCCCCAAAAAGCCACCTTGGTGACAATTGGATGGCCGTGAAGGTCATTGTGGTGACAATGGGATGATGTCCCCAAAAAGCCACCACGGTGGTGACAACGCCAATGGGATGTCCCCAAGAACCCGCCGTGGTGACACCGTGTGCCACCAGAAGATCACCGAGATGTCCCCAAGGGGCCACCACGGTGACATTGGGGTGGTGTCCCCAAAAGCCACCATGATGGTGACACCGGGATGACCTCAGGGCCACCATGGGGGTGACACCGGGATGTCCCCAAGGGCCACCATGGGGGCTGTCCCAGAGTCGCCCAATTAAAGGATTTCACCCCAAAGCTGCTGTGACCTCCTGGGCTTGGGGACAACGGAGAACTTTGGGGACATTTTGGGGGGATTTGGGGACATTTGGGGGGGATTTGGGGACATTTTGGGGACATTTTGGGGGATTTGGGGACATTTTGGGGGGGATTTGGGGACATTTTGGGGGTTTGGGGACACTTTGGGGAGATTTGGGGACATTTTTGGGGACACTTTGGGGACATTTTGGGGGATTTGGGGACACCAGGAGGGATTTGGGGACATTTGGGGGGGATTTGGGGACATTTTGGGACAATTTGGGGACACTTTGGGGGATTTGGGGATATTTTGGGGACATTTTGGGGAATTTGGGGACATTTTGGGGACATTTTGGGGGATTTGGGGACATTTTGGGGGGATTTGGGGACGTTTTGGGGGATTTGGGGACATTTTGAGGGATTTGGTGACTTTTGGGGGATTTGGGGACATTTTCGGGGGATTTGGGGACATTTTGGGGACATTTTGGGGGGATTTGGGGACATTTTGGGGACATTTTGGGGGGATTTGGGGACATTTTGGGGGATTTAGGGACATTTTGGGACATTTTGGGGACATTTTGGGGGGATTTGGGGACATTTTGGGACATTTTGGGGACATTTGGGGACATTTTGGGGGATTTGGGGACATTTTGGGACATTTTGGGGGGATTTGGGGACATTTTGGGGGATTTAGGGACATTTTGGGGACATTTTGGGACATTTTGGGGACATTTTGGGGCCGTTCCCGCCCCTCCAGGGGGCGGAGCATCGCGCCGCTGCCAGGCCCCGCCCCTTCCCAGCTCAGCCAATCAGAGCGCGGGGGGCGTGGCCTCACCCTCAATACACTTTCATTGGGTGGGCGTGGCCTGGAGTGGGCGTGGCCCTGAGTGGGCGTGGCCTCCGCACCCGGAAGCGGCGCCGGGCGCGTCCCGGTGAGCGCTGAGGGGGGGGGGGAGGCGGAATTTGGGGGAAATTCAGGAAAATTCGGGAAAATTTGGGAATTTTTGGGGTGCGGGAAGCGGCGGAGGAGGATGAGGGGAAGGGAAAACTGCCGGGAAACTCCGAGGCCTGCGCGGGACCTCCCCCCACCCCCTCAGGGACCTCCCGGCCCCTCCTTCCCCCATTCCCGGAGCGAAAATCCCAAAATTTGGGATGAAAACCCCAAATTTGGGACATCGGGACCCCCCCGGGATGGGAATTTTTAGGATCGAAACCCCCCCCCTAAAACGGGAATTTTTCCCCCGGAATGGGAATTTTTTAGGAATTTTTTAGGAATTTTTTAGGAATTTTTTTAGGATTTTTTTTGGGAATTCTTTCCCAAATTCCCTCTGGAATTCCTCGGGAATGTCCTCGGACAAGGGCAGGGAAAATAATCCTGGAAAAGTCTGGAATGTCATTCCCGGGATGGGATTTTTTTTAAATCTAAAAATTCCCTTTTTTATTTTTAATTTTTGTTTTTTCTCTCCCAAATTCCAGGATTTTTTTCCTGGTTTTTCCCGATTTTTTTGGGATTTTTTTCCCTGGAAAAAAAATTCCCTCCCTCCTTTCCCAGATTTTAGGGCCAAATATTTGGGACAAGGCTGTGGAATTTGGGATTGGATTAATGGGACACCGGAATTCCAGAGGGGGGAAAAAATATGGAATTCCAGAGGGAAAAAAAAAAAAATCTGGGATTAGAATTCCAGAGGAGGGGAAAAAATTGGGATTGGAATTCCAGGAAAAAAAAAAAAAAACACAAAAAAACCCTCAAATTTTAAACAAATTGGAATTTCAGAGGGGAAAAAAAATGGGATTGGAATTCCAGAGGGAAAAATTTGGGATTGGGATTCCAGAGGGAAAAAAAAACTTGGAATTTGAATTCCAGAAAAATCTGGGGAAAGGGGGGAGGGGGAAATTGGGATTGAAATTGCAGAAAAATTTGGAAATCCAGGAATTTTTTTCCAGATTCCAGAGGGGGAAAAATTTGGGATTCAAATTCCAGAAAAATTTGGGATTGAAATTCCAGGATGGGGGAAAAAAAAAAAAATCTGGGATTGGAATTCCAGAAAAATTTGGAATTCCGGGAATTTTTTCCAGATTCCAGAGGGGGAAAATTCTGGGATTGGGATTCCAAGGAGGGAGAGAAAAAACTGGGATGCAAATTCCAGAAAAATTTGGGATTGGGAGTCCAAAGGGGGAAAATCTGGGATTGGGATTCCAGGGAGAAAAAAATTTTGGAATTCAGACTCCAGAAAAAATTGGAATTCCAGGAATTTTTTCCAGATTCCAGAGGGGGAAAAATTCTGGGATTGGGATTCCAGAAAAATTTGGGGATTGGGATTCCAGGGAGGAAAAGAATTCTGGGATTGGGATTCCAGAGGGGGAGAAAAAAAAAAATTGGAATTGGAATTCCAGAAAAATCTGGGATTGGGATTCCACGGGGGGGAAAATATTTGGGAATAAAATTGCAAAGATGGGGGGAAAATTCTGGGATTGGAATTCCAGAAAAATTTGGAATTCCAGGAATTTTTTTCCAGATTCCAGAGGGGGAAAAATTTGGGATTCAAATTCCAGAAAAATTCTGGGATTGGGATTCCAGAATGAGGGAAAATCTGGGGTTGGAATTCCAGAAAAATTGGGAATTCCGGGAATTTTTTCCAGATTCCAGAGGGAAGAATTTGGGATTGGGATTCCAGAAAAATTTGGGGATTGGGATTCCAGGGAGGAAAAGAATTCTGGGATTGGGATTCCACAGGGGGGAAAATATTTGGGATTGAAATTGCAGAGATGAGGGAAAAACTGGGATTGGAATTCCAGAAAAATTTGGAAATCCAGGAATTTTTTCCAGATTCCAGAGAGGGAAAAATTCTGGGATTGGGATTCCTGAGGGGGAAAAATTCTGGAATTGGAATTCCAGAAAAATCTGGGATTGGGATTCCAGAAAAAATCTGGGATTGGAATTCCAGAGAGGGAAAAATCTGGGATTGGGATTCCAGGGAGAAAAAAATTTTGGAATTCAGACTCCAGAAAAATTTGGAATTCCAGGAATTTTTTCCAGATTCCAGAGGGGGGAAAATTCTGGGATTGGGATTCCAGAGGGGGAGAAAAAACTGGGATTCAAATTCCAGAAAAAATTTGGGATTGGGATTCCAGAGGGGGGAAAAAATTGGAATTGGAATTCCAGAAAAATCTGGGATTGGGATTCCAGAAAAATCTGGGATTGGGATTCCAGAATGAGGGAAAAACTGGGATTGGAATTCCAGAAAAATTTGGAATTCCAGGAATTTTTTCCAGATTCCAGAGGGGGAAAATTCTGGGATTGGGATTCCAGGGGGGGGAGAAAAAACTGGGATTCAAATGCCAGAAAATTCTGGGATAGGAATTCCAGAGAGGGAAAAATCTGGGATTGGAATTCCAGAAAAATTTGGAATTCCGGGAATTTTTCCAGATTCCAGAGGGGGAAAAATTCTGGGATTGGTATTCCAGGGGGGAAGAAAAAAATGGGATTCAAATTCCAGAAAAATTTTGGGATTGGGATTCCAGGGAGGAAAAAAAATTTTGGAATTCAGACTCCAGAAAAATTTGGAATTCCAGGAATTTTTCAAGATTCCAGAGGGGGAAAAATTTGGGATTCAAATTCCAGAAAAATTTGGGATTGGGATTCCAGGATGGGGGAAAAAAAAAATCTGGAATTGGAATTCCAGAAAAATCTGGGATTGGGATTCCAGGATGGGGGAAAATGTGGGATTGGAATTCCAGAAAAATTGGGAATTCCTGAGGGGGAAAGTCTGGGATTCAAATTCCAGAAAAAGTTGGGATTGGAATTCCAGAGAGGGAAAAATCTGGGGTTGGGATTCCAGAAAAATTTGGAATTCCGGGAATTTTTTCCAGATTCCAGAGGGGGGAAAATTCTGGGATTGGGATTCCAGAAAAATCTGGGATTGGGATTCCAGGGAGGAAAAAAATTCTGGGATTGGGATTCCAGAGGGGGGAAAAAAAAATTGGAATTGGAATTCCAGAAAAATCTGGGATTGGAATTGCAGAGATGGGGGAAAAATTGGAATTGGGATTCCAGAAAAATTCTGGGATTGGAATTCCAGAGGGGGGAAAAACTGGGATTGGGATTCCAGAAAAATTTGGAATTCCAGGAATTTTTCCAGATTCCAGAGGGGGAAAATTCTGGGATTGGGATTCCAGGGGGGGAGAAAAAACTGGGATTAAAATTCCAGAAAAATTTGGGATTGGGAGTCCAGGGAGGAAAAAAATTCTGGGATTGGGATTCCAGAAAAATCTGGGATTGGGATTCCACAGAGGGGGGGAAATGTGGGATTGGAATTCCAGAAAAATTGGGAATTCCTGAGGGGGAAAATCTGGGATGCAAATTCCAGAAAAATTTGGGATTGGAATTCCAGAGAGGGAAAATTCTGGGATTGGGATTCCAGAATGAGGGAAAATCTGGGATTGGAATTCCAGAAAAATTTGGAATTCCGGGAATTTTTCCAGATTCCAGGGGGAGAAAAAACTGGGATTCAAATTCCTGAAAAATTTGGGATTGGAATTCCAGGGGGAAAAAAATTTTGGAATTCAGACTCCAGAGAAATTTGGAATTCCAGGAATTTTTCCAGATTCCAGAGGGGGAAAATTTTGGGATTGGGATTCCAGAAAAATTTGGGATTGAGATTCCAGGGAGGAAAAAAAATTGGAATTGGAATTCCAGAAAAATCTGGGATTGGATTCCACGGTGGGGGGTAAAAATTTGGGATTGAAATTGCAGAGAGGGAAAATTCTGGGATTGGAATTCCAGAAAAATTTGGAATTCCAGGAATTTTTCCCAGATTCCAGAGGGGGAAAAATTCTGGGATTGGGATTCCGGGGGGGGGGGAAAAATTGGAATTGGTATTCCAGAAAAATTTGGGATTGGGAGTCCAGGGAGGAAAAAAATTCTGGGATTGGGATTCCAGAGGGGGGAAAAAAAATTGGAATTGGAATTCCAGAAAAATCTGGGATTGGGATTCCACGGGGGGGAAATATTTGGGATTGAAATTGCAGAGATGGGGGAAAAACTGGGATTGGAATTCCAGAAAAATTTGGAATTCCGGGAATTTTTCCAGATTCCAGAGGGGGGGAAAATTTTGGGATTGGAATTCCAGAAAAATTTGGAATTGGGATTCCAGGATGGGGGGAAAAAAAAAATCTGGAATTGGAATTCCAGAAAAATCTGGGATTTGGATTCCACAGAGGGGGGAAATGTGGGATTGGAATTCCAGAAAAATTGGGAATTCCTGAGGGGGGAAATCTGGGATTTAAATTCCAGAAAAATTTGGGATTGGAATTCCAGAGAGGAAAAAAATTCTGGGATTGGGATTCCAGGGAGAAAAAACTTTTGGAATTCAGACTCCAGAAAAATTTGGAATTCCACGAATTTTTCCAGATTCCAGAGGGGGGAAAATTCTGGGATTGGGATTCCAGAAAAATCTGGGATTGGGATTCCACAGAGGGGGGAAAATGTGGGATTGGAATTCCAGAAAAATTGGGAATTCCTGAGGGGGGAAGTCTGGGATTCAAATTCCCGAAAAATTTGGGATTGAAATTGCAGAGATGGGGGGAAAACTGGGATTGGAATTCCAGAAAAATTTGGAATTCCAGGAATTTTTTCCAGATTCCAGAGGGGGAAAAATTTGGGATTCAAATTCCAGAAAAATTTGGGATTGGAATTCCAGAATAAGGGAAAATCTGGGGTTGGAATTCCAGAAAAATTTGAAAATCCAGGAATTTTTTCCAGATTCCAGAGGGGGGAAATTTTGGGATTGGGATTCCAAAGGGGGAGAAAAAACTGGGATTCAAATTCCAGAAAAATTTGGGATTGGGAGTCCAAAGGGGGGAAAATCTGGGATTGGAATTCCAGAAAAATTTGGAATTCCGGGAATTTTTCCAGATTCCAGAGGGGGAAATATTCTGGGATTGGTATTCCAGGGGGGGAGAAAAAAACTGGGATGCAAATTCCAGAAAAATTTGGGATTGGGAGTCCAGAATGAGGGAAAATCTGGGGTTGGAATTCCAGAAAAATTTGGAATTCCAGGAATTTTTTCCAGATTCCAGAGGGGGGAAAATTCTGGGATTGGGATTCCAGAGGGGGAGAAAAATTTGGGATTCAAATTCCAGAAAAATTTGGGATTGGGATTCCACGGGGGGGAAAATATTTGGGAATCAAATTGCAAAGATGGGGGAAAAACTGGGATTGGAATTGCAGAGGGGAAAAAATCTGGGATTGGAATTCCATAAAAATTTGGGATTGGGATTGCAGAGGGGGGATGGGGTTGGGATTTCTGGTAATTTTTGGGATTTCTGGGAATTTTTGGGATTTCTGAGCTTTTCCCCTTCCAGGATCCTCGGGAAGAGGAGGAGGAGGAGGAGGAATCCTGGGATGAGGCGGCTCCCGCCTGGATGAGGCCGGATCCCATGGAAGCTTCCGGAATTCCGGGATTTTTCCTGGACTGGCGGCGGCGCCCGGAATTCCCGGCACCGGGAGCCTGAATCCCTCCTGGGGCTGGAGCGGAGAATTCCCACGGAATTCCCACCTGGAGCAGAGAATTCCCATTGAATTCCCACCTGGAGCAGAGAATTCCTATTGAATTCCCAGTGAGATCAGAGAATTCCCATCAAATTCCCACCAGGATCAGGGAATTCCCACCTGGAGCAGAGAATTCCCACAGAATTCCAACTGAGATCAGGAAATTCCCACAGAATTCCCACCTGGAGCAGAGAATTCCCAGTGAGATCAGAGAATTCCCACCAAATTCCCACTGGGATCAGGGAATTCCCACCTGGAGCAGAGAATTCCCAGTGAGATCAGAGAATTCCCACCAAATTCCCACTGGGATCAGGGAATTCCCACCTGGAGCGGACAATTCCCGTTGAATTCCCACCTGGAGCAGAGAATTCCCACCTGGAGCAGAGCATTCCCACTGGGATCAGAGAATTCCCATTGAATTCCCACTCAATTCCCATCTGGATCAGAGAATTCCCACTGGGATCGGGGAATTTCAACCTGGAGCAGAGAATTTCCACTGGGAGCAGAGAATTCCCATTGAATTCCCACCTGGATCAGAGAATTCCTATTGAATTCCCACTGGGATCGGGGAATTCCTGCCAGGATCAAAGAATTCCCACCTGGATCAGAGAATTCCCACCTGGAGCAGAGAATTCCCACCTGGAGCAGAGCTCATCCAGGAATTCCCATTGAATTCCCACTGAATTCCCACCTGGATCAGAGAATTCCCACATGGAGCAGAGAATTCCTGCCGGGATCATCCGGGAATTCCCACTTTTCCCTGGAATCGCGCCTGGATCAGGGAATTCCCACTGAATTCCCACCAGATCAGAGAATTCCCACCTGGATCGGGGAATTCCCACCTGGATCAGAGAATTCCCACCTGGATTAGAGCATTCCCAGAGAATTCCCACTGGGATCAGGGAATTCCCACCTGGATTAGAGAATTCCCACCTGGATCAGAGAATTCCCAGTGGGATCGGGGAATTCCCACAGAATTCCCACCTGGATCAGAGAATTCCCGCTGAATTCCCACTGGGATCAGAGAATTCCCACCTGGATCAGAGATCATCCGGGAATTCCCATCGAATTCCCACTGAATTCCCACCTGGATTAGAGAATTCCCATTGAGTTCCCACTGAATTCCCACCTGGATTAGAGAATTCCCGCCGGGCTCATCCGGGAATTCCCACCAGGATCATCCGGGAATTCCCGCTTTTCCCTGGAATTCCACCTCCCAGTGCCGGCCAGGCTGGAGCCGCGCAGCCGCAGCCGCAGCCGCAGCCGGAGCATGGTGGAGTCGCGCGTCCGCCGTGAGTGTCCCCATTCCCAACGGGAATTCCCGAAATTCCAGACAGGAATTCCCGTGGCATTGCCAATTCCCACATTCCCAGCCCGGAATTCCCACATTTCCAGCCCAGAATTCCCACATTTCCAACCCAGAATTCCCACATTTTCAGCACAGAATTCCCACATTTTCAGCCTGGAATTCCCAAATTTCCAGCTCAGAATTCCCACATTTCCAGCCCGGAATTCCCAAATTTCCAATCCAGTTTTCCCATGGGATTGGGAATTCCCAAATTTCCAGCCCAGAATTCCCACATTTTCAACCCAGAATTCCAACATTTTCAATGCAGAATTCCCACACTCCCAGCCCAGAATTCCCACACTCCCAGCCCAGAATTCCCACATTTCCAGCCCAGAATTCCCACATTTTCAGCCTGGAATTCCCAAATTTCCAGCCCATTTTTCCTGCAGGGATTGGGAATTCCCAAATTTCCAGCCCAGTTTTCCCACATTTCCAAGCCAGAATTCCCAAATTCCAGCCCGGTTTTCCCAAATTTCCAGCCCAGAATTCCCACATTTCCAGCCCAGTTTTCCTGCAGGAATTGGCAATTCCCACATTTCCAGCCCGGTTTTCCCATGGGATTGGGAATTCCCAAATTTCCAGCCCAGAATTCCCACATTTCAAGCTCAGTTTTCCTGCAGGAATTGGGAATTCCCAAATTTCCAGCCAGGTTTTCCCACATTTCCAGCCCAGAATTCCCACATTTCCAGCCTGGAATTCCCACATTTCCAGCCCAGAATTCCCAAATTTCCAGACCGGTTTTCCCTGCAGGAATTGGGAATTCCCAAATTTCCAGCCCGGATTTCCCAAATTCCAGGCGGGTTTTCTAGTGGGATTGGGAATTCCCAAATTTCCAGCCCAGAATTCCCACATTTCCAAGCCAGAATTCCCACATTTCCAGCCCAGAATTCCCAAATTTCCAGCCCAGAATTCCTGCAGGGATTGGGAATTCCCAAATTTCCAGGCCAGAATTCCCCCATTTCCAACCCAGAATTCCCACATTTCCAGCCCAATTTTCCCAAATTTCCAGCCCAGAATTCCCAAATTTCCAGCCCGGATTTCCCACATTTCCAGCCCACTTTTCCCTGCAGGAATTGGGAATTCCCAAATTTCCAGCCTCGATTTCCCAAATTCCAGCTGGGTTTTCCCATGGGATTGGAAATTCCCAAATTTCCAGCCCAGAATTCCCACATTTCCAGCCCGGATTTCCCACATTTCTGGTCCAGAATTCCCGAATTTCCAGCCCAGTTTTCCCTGCAGGAATTGGGAGAAATGGAGGAAAAAAATGGAGGAAAAAAATTGGGAAAAAGGGAAAAGTGGAGGAAAAAGTTGGGGAAAAAAAAGGAAAATTGGGGGGAAAATTGAGGAAAAATGGGAGAAAAAAGGGAGGGAAATGGGAAAATTGAGGAAAAGGAATTGGAAAAATTGAGAAAAAAGGGAAAAATGGTGGGGAAAATTGGGAAAAAAGGACAAAAATGGAGGAAAATGGAGGGAAAAGGGGGAAAACGTGAAAAGTTTGGGGGAAAAAGGGGAAAATGGGGGAAAAATGGGTAAAATTTGGGAAAAAATTGGGAAAAAATGGGGAAAAAATGGGGAAAAAATGGGGAAAAAATGGGGAAAATTTGGGAAAAATGGGGAAAAAATGGGGAGAAAATGGGGAAAATTTGGGAAAAAATGGTGGAAAAAATGGGGGAAAAATGGGAAAAATGGGGAAAAATTGGGATAAAATGGGGAAAATTTGGGAAAAATGGCAAAAAAATGGGGAAAATTTGGGAAAAAGTGGCGGAAAAAATGGGGAAAATTTGGGTAAAATGGCGGGAAAAATGGGGAAAATTTGGGAAAAAATTGGGAAAAAATGGGGAAAATTTGGGAAAAAAAGGTGGTAAAAATGGCAGAAAAAATGGGGAAAATTTGGGGAAAATGGCGGAAAAAATGGGGAAAATTTGGGAAAAAAATTGGTGAACTATGGGGAAAATTTGGGGAAAAATGGGGAAAATTTGGGAAAAAATTGGGAAAAAATGGGGAAAATTTGGGAAAAAGTGGCGGAAAAAATGGGGAAAATTTGGGAAAAAATTGGGAAAAAATGGGTAAAATTTGGGGCGCAGCTGTGGGAGCCTCCAGGTGATAATTCCGCATTTCTGGACCATTCCAGGGCTGGCGCTGGCGCTGCTGGAGGCGGGAGCGGAGCCGGGGCCGGGGAAAACTGGGAAAAATGGGAAAATTGGGGAAAGACGGGGAAAATGGAGATAAGAATTGGTGAAAATGGAGAAAAAATTGGGGAAAATGGCGGAAAAATTGTGAGAAATTGAGGAAAAATTGGGAAAAATGGGGGAAAGATTTGGAAAAAAAGGGGGGAAAAGGGGATAAATGGAAAAGAAAGGGGGAAATGGTAGGAAAAAATTGGAAAAAATAGGGTTAAAAAAAGGAAAAAAGGGAGGAAAAAATGGGAGAAAAAGGAAAAAATGGAGGGAAAAATGGCGGAAGAAATGGTGGAAAAAATGGGAAAAAATGGGGGGAAAAAGGGGAAAAAATGGTGGGAAAAATGGGGGGGAAATGGAAAAAAATGGGGGAAAAAAATGGGAAAGAAAGGAAAAAATGGCAGAAAAAATGGGGAAAATTTGGGAATAATGGGGGAAAAGTGGCAGAAAAAATGGGGAAAAATGGAAAAAAATGGGGGAAAATGGTGGAAAAAATGGGAAAAATGGCAGAAAAAATGGCAAAAAAATGGGGAAAAAATGGGGAAAAAAAAGAAAAAATAGAGGAAAAAATTGGTGAAAATGGGGAAAATTTGGGGAAAAATGGCGGAAAAAATGGGGAAAATTTGGGAAAAAGTGGCGGAAAAAATGGGGGAAAAAAGGAAAAAATGGTGAAAAAAATGGGAAAAAAAGGAAAAAATGGTGGCAAAAATGGAGGAAAAAATGGGGAAAATTTGGGAAAAAATGGCGGAAAAATGGGGAAAAAAAGGAAAAAATGGTGGAAAAAATTGGGGAAAAATGGGGGAAAAATGGGGAAAAGTGGCGGAAAAAATGGGGAAAAAATGGAAAAAAATGGGGGAAAATGGTGGAAAAAATGGGGGAAAATGGTGGAAAAAATGGCGGAAAAAATGGGGAAAATATGGAAAAAATGGGAAAAAATGGGGGAAAATGGCGGAAAAATGGGGAAAAAATGGAAAAAAAGGGGGAAAAAAGGAAAAAAAAGGCAGAAAAAATGGGGAAAAATGGGAAAAATGGTGGGAAAAATGGGGAAAAATGGCGGAAAAAATGGCGAAAAAAATGGAGAAAAAATGGGGAAAAAATGGAAAAAATGGTGGAAAAAGATGGGAAAAAAAGGGAAAAAATGGCAGAAAAATGGGGGAAAAATGGGGAAAAATGGGAAAAATGGCGAAATAATGGGGAAAAAATGGGGGAAAAAAGGAAAAAATTGGAAAAAAATTGGGAAAAAATCGGGAAAAAATTGGGAAAAAATGGGAAAAATTTGGGAAAAAATGGGGAAAAATGGGTAAAATTAGGGAGGCAGCAGTGGGAGCCTCCAGGCAATAATTCCGTGTTTCTGGACCGTTCCAGGGCTGGCGCTGGCGCTGCTGGAGGCGGGAGCGGATCCGTCCCTGTGCCCGTCCGAGGCTGCGGCGCTGCGGCTGCAGCTGCGCTCGGCGCTGGCGGCGCTGGGGGACGCGGAGCCCGAGGAGCTGCTGGGGAGCGTCGCCCAGTTCCTGCAGCAGCGCCAGGAGGTTTTGGGGGGTTTTGGAGGATTTTGGGGATTTTGGGGGATTTTTGGGGTTTTGGGGGATTTTTTTGGGATTTTTTTGGGGGGTTTTGGGTGTTATTTGGGATTTTTTTGGGGATTATTGGGGATTTTTTGGGGGATTATTGGGGGTTTTGGGGAAATTTTAGGTTTTTTTGGGGTTTATTTGGGATTTTTTGGGGGATTATTGGGGATTTTTGGGGGATTATTGGGGATTTTAGGGGGTTTTGGGGGATTTTTTGGATTTTGGGGGATTTTTAGGATTTTTTGGGGATTATTGGGGATTTTTTGGGATTTTTTGGGGGGTTTTGGGGAATTTTTGGGATTTTTTTGAGGATTATTAGGGATTTTTTCGGGGATTATTGGGGATTTTTTGGGGGATTTTGGGGATTTTTTGGGGGATTTTGGGGATTTTTTTGGGGATTTTTTGGGGGGATTATTGGGGATTTTTTGGGGGCTTTGGGGGGATTTTTTGGGTGGTTTTTGGGAATTTTTGGCAGTTTTGGGGAATTTTTGTGGGGTTTTTTTGGGATTATTGGGGATTTTTGGGGGGCTTTTGGGGAATTTTGGGGGGTTTTGGGAGGTTTTTTGTAATTTTCAGGAGCTTTCTGGATATTTTTGGGAGTTTCCTGGGGAATCCTGAGCCCCATTTCCCATTTTCCCATTCCCAAATTCCCAATTTTCCATTTTCGGGGATTGCAGCTGCCCTGGCCCTGGTGGGTGTTTCCATTTTCCCATTCCCAAATTCCCAAATTCCCGTTTTTTGGGATTGCAGCTGCCCTGGCCGTGGCGGGCGCAGGTCCTGGCCTCCATTTCCCATCCCAAATTCCCAATTTTTCCCGATTTTTCCCATTTTTCCTGTTCCCAGCTGCCCTGGCCGTGGCGGGCGCAGGTCCTGACCCCATTTCCCATTCCCAAATACCCAAATTCCCGTTTTTTTGGGATTGCAGCTGCCCTGGCCGTGGCGGGAGCAGGTCCTGAGCCCCATTTCCCATTTTCCCATTCCGTAATTCCCAATTTTCCCGTTTTTCCCGTTCCCAGCTGCCCTGGCCATGGCGGGAGCAGGTCCTGAGCCCCATTTCCCATTCCCAAATTCCCAATTTTTCCCGATTTTCCCGTTTTTCCCGTTCCCAGCTGCCCTGGCCGTGGCGGGAGCAGGTCCTGAGCCCATTTCCCATTCCCAAATTCCCAATTTTTCCCGTTTTTCCCGTTCCCAGCTGCCCTGGCCGTGGCGGGAGCAGGTTCTGAGCCCATTTCCCATCCCAAATTCCCAGATTTATCCCAATTTTCCCGTTTTTTTGGGATTGCAGCTGCCCTGGCCGTGGCGGGAGCAGGTCCTGAGCCCCATTTCCCATCCCAAATTCCTGGATTTTTCCCAATTTTCCCGTTTTTTTGGGATTGCAGCTGCCCTGGCCGTGGCGGGAGCAGGTCCTGAGCCCCATTTCCCATCCCAAATTCCTGGATTTTTCCCAATTTTCCCGTTTTTTTGGGATTGCAGCTGCCCTGGCCCTGGTGGGTGTTTCCATTTCCCATCCCAAATTCCTGGATTTTTCCCAAATTCCCATTTTTTTTGGGATTGCAGCTGCCCTGGCCGTGGCGGGAGCAGGTCCTGAGCCCCATTTCCCATCCCAAATTCCCAATTTTTCCCAAATTCCCATTTTTTCCATTCCCAGCTCACCTGGCCCTGGCATGAGCAGGTCCTGAGCCCCATTTCCCATCGATAATTCCCAATTTTTCCTGTTTTTCCCGTTTTTCCCGTTTTTTTGGGATTGCAGCTGCCCTGGCCGTGGCGGGAGCAGGTCCTGAGCCCCATTTCCCATCCCAAATTCCCGGATTTTTCCCATTTTTCCCATTTTTTTGGGATTGCAGCTGCCCTGGCCGTGGCGGGAGCAGGTCCTGAGCCCCATTTCCCATTGATAATTCCCAATTTTTCCCGTTTTTCCCGTTTTTTTGGGATTGCAGCTGCCCTGGCCCTGGTGGGTGTTTCCATTTCCCATCCCAAATTCCTGGATTTTTCCCATTTTTCCTGTTTTTTTGGGATTGCAGCTGCCCTGGCCGTGGCGGGAGCAGGTCCTGAGCCCCATTTCCCATTGATAATTCCCAATTTTTCCCGTTTTTCCCGTTTTTTTGGGATTGCAGCTGCCGTGGCCGTGGCGGGAGCAGGTTCTGGCCGCGGTGGCCGCGGTGATCCGGAGTCGCCTCCCGGAGCTCGGAGCCGGCGCTGCCTCGGCCGCCGTCGCGCTGGCGGCGCAGGAGATGGGCCGGAGCAAGGTCAGACCCAGAATTCCCGATTCCCAAATCCCGGAATTCCCAATTCACATCCCATAATTCCCAAATCCCATCCCAGAATTCCCATATCCCGGAATTCCCAAATCCCAGAATTCCCAAATTCCAAATCCCAAATCCCATCCCAAATACCAGAGTTCCCAAATCCCGGAATTCCCAAATCCCACATTTCCCAAATCCTGGAATTCCCAAATCCCACATTTCCCAAATCCCGGAATTCCCAAATCCCAGAATTCCCAATTCCCAACCCAGAGTTCCCAAATCCCGGAATTCCCAAATCCCGGAATTGCCAAATCCCATCCCAGAATTCCCAAATACCGGAATTTCCAAATCCCATGCCAAATCCTGGAAATCCCAAATCCTGGAAATCCCAAATCCCAGAAATCCCAAATCCCAGAATTCCCAAATCCCAGAATTCCCAGTCCCAAATCCCAAAATTCCCATATCTTGAATCCCAAATGCCATCCCAAATACCAGAATCCCCAAATCTCAGAATTTCCAAATCCCACAATTCCCAAATCCTAAATCCCAAATCCCAGAAGTCCCAAATTCCCAATCCCAGATCTCATCCAAAATCCCACAATTCCGAAATCCCAGAGTTCCCAAATCCTGGAATTTCCAATTCCCAAATCCCAAAATTCCCATATCCTGAATCCCAGATCCCATCCCAAATCCTGGAATTCCCAAATCCCATCCCAGATCACAGAATTCCCAAATCCCAAATCCTGGAATTCCCAATTCCTGAAACCCAAAGCCCAGAATTCCCAAAGCTCAAATCCCAGAATTCCCAAATTCCAAATCCCAGAATTCCCAATTCCCAAATTTCAGAATTCCCAAATCCTGAATCCCAGATCCCAAAATTCCCAAATCCTGAATCCCAAATCCCATCCCAAATCCCATAATTCCTAAATCCCAGAATTCCCAATTCCCAGAATTCCCAAAGCCCACAGTTCCTAAATCTCACAATTCCCAAATCCTAAATCTCAAATCCTGGAATTCCCAAATCCCAGAATCCCCAAATCCCAAATCCCAGAATTCCCAAATCCCAAATCCCAGAATTTCCAAATCCCAGAATTCCCAAACTCCCAATCCCAGATGCCATCCCAATTCCCAGAAATCCCAAATCCCAGAATTCCCAAATCCCAGAATTCCCAAATCCCAGAATTCCCAAATCCCAGAAGTCCCAAATCCCAGAATTCCCAAATTCCGAATCCCAGATGCCATCCCAATTCCCAGAAATCCCAAATCCCAGAATTCCCAAATCCCAGAATTCCCAAATCCTGAATCCCAGATCCCATCCCAAACCCTGGAATTCCCAAATCCCAAATCCCATCCCAGATCACAGAATTCCCAAATCCCAAATCCTGGAATTCCCAAACCCCAGAAATCCCAAATCCTGGAATTCCCAATTCCTGAATACCAAAGCCCATAATTCCCAAAGCCCAAATCCCAGATGCCAGAATTCCCAAATCCCAGAATTCCCAAATCCCACTATTCCCAAAGCCCAGAATTCCCAAATCCCAAATCCCTTCCCAGATCCCAAATACCAGAATCCCCAAATCCCATCCCTGATCCCATCCCAAATCCCAGAATTCCCAAATCCCAGAATTCCCAAATCCTGAATCCCAGATCCCATCCCAAACCCTGGAATTCCCAAATCCCAAATCCCATCCCAGATCACAGAATTCCCAAATTCCAAATCCTGGAATTCCCAAATCCCAGAAATCCCAAATCCTGGAATTCCCAATTCCTGAATCCCAAAGCCCATAATTACCAAAGCCCAAATCCCAGATCCCAGAATTCCCAAATCCCAGAATACCCAGATCCCATCCCAGATCCCAAATCCCAGAATTCCTAAATCCAACAATTCCCAAATCCTAAATCCCCAATCCCATCCCAAATCCCGGAATTCCCAATTCCTGAATCCCAATGCCCGGAATTCCCAAACCCCAAATCCCAAATCCCATCCCAAATCCCAGAATTCCCAAATCCCAGAATACCCAAATCCTGGAATTCCCAAATCCCAGAGTTTCCAAATCCCAGAAGTCCCAAATCCCAGAATTCCCAAATTCCCAATCCCAGATGCCATCCCAATTCCCAGAATTCCCAAATCCCAAAATTCCCAAATCCCAAAATTCCCAAATCCTGAATCACAAATGCCATTTCAAATCTCAGAATTCCCAATTCCCAGAGTTCCCAAATCCTGGAATTCCCAATTCCTGAATCCCAATGCCCAGAGTTCCCAAAGCCCAAATCCCAAATCCCATCCCAAATCCCAGAATTCCCAAATTCCCAATCCCAGATGCCAAATCCCAGAATTCCTAAATCCAACAATTCCCAAATCCTAAATTCCAAGTCCCAAATCCCAAATCTCAGAATCCCCAAATCCCCAATCCCATCCCAAATCTCGGAATTCCCAAATCCCAGAATTCCCAATTCCTGAATACCAGATCCCAGAATTCCCAAATCCCCAATCCCAGATCCCATCCCAAATCCCGGAATTGCCAATTCCTGAAACCCAAAGCCCAGAATTCCCAAAGCTCAAATCCCAGAATTCCCAAATTCCAAATCCCAGAATTCCCAATTCCCAAATTTCAGAATTCCCAAATCCTGAATCACAGATCCCAAAATTTCCAAATCCTGAATCCCAAATCCCATAATTCCTAAATCCCAGAATTCCCAATTCCCAGAGTTCCCAAATCCCGGAATTCCCAATTCCCAGAATTCCCAAAGCCCACAATTCCCAAATCCTGGAATTCCCAAATCCCAGAATTCCCAATTCCCAAATCCCAAAATTCTCATATCCTGAATCCCAAATGCCATTCCAAATCCCAGAATCCCCAAATACCAGAGTTCCCAAATCCCAGAATTCCCAAATACCAGAATTCCCAAATCCCAGAATTCCCAAATCCCAGAATTCCCAATTCCCAAATTTCAGAATTCCCAAATCCTGAATCCCAGATCCCAAAATTCCCAAATCCTGAATCCCAAATCCCATCCCAAATCCCATAATTCTCAAATCCCAGAGTTCCCAAATCCTGGAATTCCCAATTCCCAGAATACCAAAGCCCATAATTACCAAAGCCCAAATCCCAGATCCCAGAATTCCCAAAGCCCACAATTCCCAAAGCCCAGAATTCCTAAATCCCACAATTCCCAAATCCTAAATCCCAAATCCCAGAATTCCCAAATTCCCAATCCCAGATGCCATCCCAATTCCCAGAGTTCCCAAATCCCAGAATTCCCAAGTCCCAGAATTCCCAAATGCCGGAATTCCCAAATCCCAGAATTCCTAAATCCCAGAATTCCCAAATCCTATCCCAAATCCCAAATACAAAGTCAGTCCTGAGCCCGGAATTCCCAAATCCCAGAATCCCCAAATCCCAGAATTCCGAAATCTCAGAGTTACCAAATCCCGGAATTTCCAATTCCCAAATCCCCAATCCTAGATCCCATCCCAAATCCCGGAATTGCCAATTCCTTAAACCCAAAGCCCAGAATTCCCAAAGCCCACAATTCCTAAATTCCACAATTCCCAAGTCCTAAATCCCAAATCCTGGAATTCCCAAATCCCAAAATTCCCAAATCCTGAATCCCAAATGCCATTCCAAATCTCAGAATTCCCAATTCCCAGAGTTCCCAAATACCAGAATTCCCAATTCCTGAATCCCAATGCCCAGAATTACCAAAGCCCAAATCCCAAATCCCATCATTCCCAAATCCCAGAATTCCCAAATTCCCAATCCTAGATGCCATCCCAATTCCCAGCGTTCCCAAATCCCGGAATCCCCAAATCCCGGAACTCCCAAATCCCAGAAGTCCCAAATTCCCAATGCCAGATCCCATCCCAGATCCCAAATCCCAGATCCCAGAAATCCCAGATCCCAGAATTCCCAGAAATCCCAAATCCTGGAATTCCCAATTCCTGAATCCCAAAGCCCAGAATTACCAAATCCCAGAATTCCCAAAGCCCACAATTCCCAAAGCCCACAATTCCTAAATCCCACAATTCCCAAATCCTAAATCCCAAATCCCAGAATTCCCAAATTCCCAATCCCAGATGCCATCCCAATTCCCAGAGTTCCCAAATCCCAGAATTCCCGAACGCCGGAATTCCCAGACCCCCCAATTCCTAAATCCCAGAATTCCCAAATCCTGAATCCCAAATCCTAAATCCCAGATCCCATCCCAGATCCCAAATCCCAAATCCCGGAATTCCCAAATCCCAGAATTCCCAAATTCCCAAATCCCAGAATTCCCAAATTCCAGAAGTCCCAAATCCCAGAAGTCCCAATTCCCAGAGTTCCCAAGTCCCAGAATTCCCAAATGCCGGAATTCCCAGAGCCCACAATTCCTAAATCCCAGAATTCCCAAATCCTGAATCCCAAATCCTATCCCAAATCCCAAATACAAAGTCAGTCCTGAGCCCGGATCTCCCAAATCCCAGAATCCCCAAATCCCAGAATTCCGAAATCTCAGAGTTCCCAAATCCCGGAATTTCCAATTCCCAAATCCCAGAATCCCCAAATCCCATCCCAGATCCCAGAATCCCCAAATCCCATCCCAGATCCCAGAATTCCCAAATCCCCAATCCCAGATCCTGTTCCAAATCCCAGAATTCCCAATTCTTGAATCACAAAGCTCAGAATTCCCAAATTCCAAAGCCCAGAATTCCCAATTCCCAAATCTCAGAATTCCCAAATCCTGAATCCCAGATCCCATCCCAATTCCCAGAATTCCCAAAGACCACAATTCCCAAATCCTGGAATTCCCAAGTCCTAAATCCCAAATCCCATCCCAAATCCCATCCCAGATCCCGGAATCCCCAAATCCCAGAATTCCCAATTCCTAAATCCCAAATTCCAGAATCCCCAGATCCCAAATCCCAACTCCCGGAATTCCCAAATCCCAGAATTCCCAAATCCCAGAATCCCCAAAATCCCATCCCAGATCCCAAATCCCAGATCCCGGATCCCAAATCCCGGAATTCCCAAATCCCGGAATTCCCAAATCCTGGAATTTCCAATTCCCAAATCCCAAAATTCCCATATCCTGAATCCCAGATCCCATCCCAAATCCCAGAATTCCCAAATCCCAGAATTCCCAAATCCCAGAATTCCCAAATCCCAGAATTCCCAAATCCCGGAATTCCCAAATCCCAAATCCCAGAATTTCCAAATCCCAGAATTCCCAAATCCCAGAATTTCCAAATCCCAGAATTCCCAAATCCTAAATCCCAAATCCCAGAAGTCCCAAATTCCCAATCCCAGATCTCATCCAAAATCCCACAATTCCCAAATCCCAGAGTTCCCAAATCCCGGAATTCCCAAATCTGACAATTCCCAAATCCCACAATTCCCAAATCCCAATTTTTTTCCCTGGGATTTTCCCCTGGGACTTTTCCTGGGGATTTCCCCCTGGGAATTTTTCCCTGGGATTTTCCCCTGGGAATTTTTCCACTGGGAATTTTCCCCGTGTGATTCCGTTCCCGCGGTAATTCCCGGTTTTTTTTTTGGGAATTCCAGGACCCGGAGCGTCAGGAGGCGGCCGGGGCGGTGCTGGTGGAGCTGGGCCGGCGCTTCCTGGCCCCGGTGCTGGAGCAGCTCCTGCGGAAATTCCCGCCCGGAATTCTGCCCCCGCCCGGCCCCATCCGCACCCTCGCCGACCTGGCGGCCGCCAACGGTGAGCGGGGCCGGGAATTCCACGGGAATACGGGAATTCCGATGGGAAATCCGGGAATTCTGACGGGAAAATGGGAATTCTGACAGGAAATTGCCAGGAAATCCGGGAATTCTGATGGGAAATGGGAATTCTGATGGGAAATCTGGGAATTCTGATGGGAAATCTGGGAATTCTGATGGGAAAATGGGAATTTGGCAGGGAAATCTGGGAATTCTGACAGGAAATTGCCAGGAAATCCGGGAATTCTGATGGGAAATGGGAATTCTGATTGGGGAAAATGGGAAATCCGGGAATTCTGATAGGAAATCGGGAATTCTGATGGGAAATCCGGGAATTCTGATGGGAAATCCGGGAATTCTGATGGGAAAATGGGAATTCAGATGGGAAAATGGGAATTCTGCCGGGAATCCGGGAATTCTGACGGGAAATCTGGGAATTCTGCTGGGAAAATGGAAATTTGGCTGGGAAATATGGGAATTCTGATGGGAAAATGGGAATTCTGACAGGAAATATGGGAATTCTGCTGGGAGAATGGGAATTCTGATGGGGAACTGGGAATTCTGATTGGGGAAATGGGAATTCGGATGGGAAAATGGGAATTCTGACGGAAATCCGGGAATTCTGCTGGGAAATCCAGGAATTCTGATGGGAAATCTGGGAATTCAGCCAGAAATCTGGGAATTCTGCTGAGAAAATGGGAATTCCTCCAGAAATCTGGGAATTTTGCCAGAAAACCAGGAATTCTGTTGGGAAATCTGGGAATTCTGATGGGAAAATGGGAGTTGTGACAGAAATCCGGGAATTCTGATGGGAAATCTGGGAATTCAGCCGGGAAAATGGGAATTCTGCTGTGAAAATGGGAATTCTGATGGGAAATCCAGGAATTCTGATGGAAATCCGGGAATTCTGACAGGGAAAATGGGAATTCTGATGGGGAAATGGGAATTCTGATGGGAAAATGGGAATTCTGATGGGAAAATGGGAATTTGGCTGGGAAATCCGGGAATTCTGACGGGAAAATGGGAATTCAGATGGGAAAATGGGAATTCTGATGGGAATCTGGGAATTCTGATGGGAAATCAGCGAATACTAAAGGGGAAATGGGAATTCTGCTGGAAATCCGGGAATTCTAATGGGAAATGGGAATTCTGACGGGAAAATGGGAATTCAGCTGGAAAATATGGGAATTCTGATGGGAAAATGGGAATTCTGCCGGGAAAATGGGAATTCTGACGGGAAAATGGGAATTCAGCTGGAAAATATGGGAATTCTGATGGGAAAATGGGAATTCTGTCGGGAAATCTGGGAATTCGGCTGGGAAATCTGGGAATTCTGACGGGAAAATGGGAATTTGGCTGGGAAATCTGGGAATTCTGATGGGAATCCGAGAATTCTGATGGGAAATCAGAGAATTCTGTCAGAAAATCCAGGAATTCGGCTGGAAAATGGGAATTCTGCCAGAAAAAACAGGGAATTCTGCCAGAAATCCGGGAATTCTGATGGCAATCTGGGAATTCGGCTGGAAACTGGGAATTCTGCCAGAAAATCTGGGAATTCTGATGGGAAAACGGGAATTCTGACAGGAAAATGGGAATTCTGATGGGGAAATGGGAATTCTGCTGGAAACTGGGAATTCTGCCAGAAAATCTGGGAATTCTGCTGGGAAAACAGGAATTCAGCTGGGAAACTGGGAATTCGGCAGGAAAATGGGAATCCTGCTGGAAATCTGGGAATTCGGCTGGAAATATGGAAATTCTGCCAGAAAACCATGAATTCTGCTGGGAAAATGGGAATTTGGCTGGGAAATCTGGGAATTCTGCCAGAAAATGGGATTTTGGCTGGGAAACCGGGAATTCAGCTGGGAATCCAGGAATTCTGATGGGAAATCTGGGAATTCTGCCAGAAATCTGGGAATTCTGCTGGGAAAATCCGGGAATTCGGTTGAGAATAATGTCGGGAAAAACAAGAATAATCCTGGGAAAAGGCGGGAATTAATTGGGGAAATCTGCCAGGAAAAGTGGGAAAAATCTGGGAATTCTGCTGGGAACAGCAGGAAAAAATCCGGGAATAATGCTGGGAAAAGGCGGGAATTTGGGGACTTGGGGCTGGAATTTTGGAATTTCAAATTGGAATTTTGGGGCTGAAATGTTGGGATTGAGGTGTGGGATTTTGGGATTTAGGTGTGGAATTTCAGGATTTGGGGCTGGGATTTTGGGATTTGGGGCTGGAATTTTGGGATTTAGGAGTGGGGATTTGGGGCTGGAATTTTGGGATTTGGAGAAGGATTTTTGGGATTTAGGTGTGGAATTTTGGGATTTGGGCCAGAATTTTGGGACCTGAAACTGAAATTTGGGATTTGTTGCTGGAATTTTGGGATTGGGGCTGGAATTTTGGGATTTGGGGCTGGAATTTGGGGATTTAGGGCTGGAATTTTGGGATTTAGGTGTGGAATTTCAGGATTTGATGCTGGAATTTGGGGATTTGGGGCCGGAATTTTGGGGTTTAGGTGTGGAATTTTGGGATTTGGGCCAGAATTTTGGGACCTGAAACTGAAATTTGGGATTTGTTGCTGGAATTTTGGGATTGGGGCTGGAATTTTGGGATTTAGGGCTGGAATTTCAGGATTTGGGACTGGAATTTTGGGATTTGGGGCTGGAATTTCAGGATTTGCTGCTGGAATTTCAGATGTGGAGCAGGAATTTTGGGATTTAGGGATTTGGGGCTGGAATTTTGGGATTTAGAGCTGGAATTTCAGGATTTGATGCTGGAATTTGGGGATTTGAGGCTGCAATTTGGAGATTTAGGGCTGGAATTTTGGGATTTAGGTATGGAATTTTGGGATTTGGGCCAGAATTTTGGGACCTGAAACTGAAATTTGGGATTTGTTGCTGGAATTTTGGGATTGGGGCTGGAATTTTGGGATTTAGGTGTGGAATTTCGGACTCTGGGGCTGGAATTTGGTGATTTGGGGCGGGAATTTTGGGATTTGTTGCTGGAATTTTGGGATTTGGGGCTGGAATTTTGGGATTTGGGGCCGGAATTCCGTCGGGAATTTTTTCCAGGGGGGAATTCCGTGTCCGTGACCTTTTCCCGTTGTTTTTCCCAAGTTTTCGGGATGGTTCCGTTCCTGAGCTCCATCCTGGCCACGCTCGTGCCCCTGCTGGGAACGGCCTGCACGGATTCCATGAAATGCACGCTCTGCTACGGTAAAAATTCCCAAAAAACCTGGAAAAATTCCCAAAAAACCCTGGAAAAATCTCCCAAAAAACCCCATTAAACCCCCCCCCCAAAAAAAAAAAAACGGGAAAAATCCCCAAAAAATCCCAAAAATTCTCCCCCAAAAAAACCAGAAAAATCCCCCAAAAATACCCCGGGAAAAATCCAAAAAAAATTCCGAAAAAATTCCAAAAAAATTCCCAAAAACTTCTCAAAAAATTCCCAAAAAATCCAAAAAAAATCCCCCAAAAAATTGCCAAAAAATCCAAAAAAATTCCGAAACATCCCTTAAATATCCCCAGAATTCCATGAAGATTTCCAAAAAAAAATCCCCCCAAAATCCCCAAAAATCATCGAAAAGTCCTAAAAAATCCCCTGAAATTTCCAAAATACCCCAAAAAAACCCCAAAAAATTCCCAGAAATTGCCAAAAATTCCCAAAGAATTCTCAAACATCCCAAAAATATCCCCAAAATTCTATGAAGATTATTTCCAAAAAATTCCCCAAAACATCCCCAAAAATAATCCAAAAATCAAAAAAAATCCCCCAAAAATCCCCAAAAAAACCCCCAAAATTCCAAAAAAATCCCAAAAATCCCCAAAAAATTCCCAAAAAATTCCCAAAAAATTCCTAAAATTCCCGGAATTCCGCAGCCCTGCAGTGTTTCGGCGAGAGCATCCAGGAGTACCTGGCGGGGCGGGCGCAGGGCCGGGACCAAAATCCTCAGAAAATCCCCAAAAAATCGCCAAAAAATCGCCAAAAAATCCCCAAAAAAACCCCAAAAATTCCCCAAAAAATTCCCAAAAAATTCCCAAACATCCTTAAAATATCCCCAGAATTCTGTGAAGAGTTCCAAAACAATTCCACAAAAAATCCCCAAAAATAATGTAAAAATCAAAAAAAATCCCCAAAAAAACCCCAAAAAATCGCAAAAGAACCCCAAAAAATTCCCAAAAATTCCCAAAAAATTCCCCAAAATTCCAAAAAATTCCCAAAAATTTGCAAACATCCTTAAAATATCCCCAGAATTCTATGAAGAGTTCCAAAAAAATCCCCCCAAAAATCATCAAAAAGTCCTAAAAAATCCCAAAAAATCCCCAAAAATTCCCAAAAAATTCTCCAAAATCCCCAAAATTCCAAAAATTCCTCAAAATTCCTAAAAAATTCCCAAACATCCTTAAAATATCCCCAGAATTCTATGAAGATTTCCAAAAAAATTCCCCAAAAAATCCCCAAAAATCATCAAAAAGTCCTAAAAAATTCCCAAAAAATCCAAAAAAATTCCCAAAAAATCCCAAAAAAATCCCAAAAATTCCCAAAAAATTCCCAAAAAATTCCCGGAATTCCCAAAATTCCGCAGCCCTGCAGCGTTTCGGCGAGAGCATCCAGGAGTACGTGGCGGGGCGGGCGCAGGGCCCTGAGCGACATCCCCCAGAAATTCTCTAAAAAATAAAAAAAATCATGAAAAATTCATGAAAAATTCCCAAAAAATTCCCAAAAATTCCCAAAAAATTCCCAAAAAATTATCAAAAAATTCCCCAAAAATTCCCCAAAAAATTCTCAAAAAATTCCAAAAAAATTCCAAAAAAATTCCCAAAAAATTCCCCAAAAATTCCCAAAAAAATTCCCCAAAAATTCTCAAAAATTCCCAAAGAATTCCCAAAAAATTCCAAAAAATTCCCAAATAATTCCCAAATATCACTGAAGTATGCCCAGAATTCTATGAAGATTTCCAAAAAATTCCACAAAAATCTCCAAAAATAATGCAAAAATCCAAAAAAAATCCCAAAAAACCCCCAAAAATTCCCAAAAAATTCCAAAAAAATTCCCAAAAAAATTCAAAAAAATTCCCAAACATCCCTAAAATATCCCCAGAATTCTATGAAGATTTCAAAAAAAATTCCCCAAAAAATCCCCAAAAATCATCCAAAAATGAAAAAAAATCCTCAAAAAAACCCCCAAAAATCCCCAAAAAAACCCCAAAAAATTCCCGAAAAATTCCCAAAAAATTCCCTAAAAATTCCCAAAAATTCCCGGATTTCTCCCAGCCCTGCAGCGTTTCGGCGAGAGCATCCAGGAGCACCTGGCTGGGCGGGTGCAGGGCCCCGAGCGACATCCCCCAAAAATTCTCTAAAAAATAAAAAAAAATCATGAAAAATTCATGAAAAATTCCCAAAAAATTCCCAAAAAATTCCAAAAAAATTCCCCAAAAAATTCTCAAAAATTCCCAAAAAATTCGCAAACATCCCTAAAATATCCCCAGAATTCTATGAAGAGTTCAAAAAAATTCCCCAAAAAATCCCCAAAAATCATCCAAAAGTCCTAAAAAATCCCCCAAAAATCGCCAAAAAAACCAAAAAAAATTCCCAAAAAATTCCCAAAAATTCCCAAAAATTCCCAAAAATTCCCAAAAAATTCCCAAACATCCCTAAAATATCCCCAAAATTCTATGAAGATTTCGAAAAAATTCCACAAAAAATCTCAAAAAATAATGCAAAAGTCCTAAAAAATTCCCCAAAAATCGCCAAAAAAACCAAAAAAAATTCCCAAAAAATTCCCCAAAAAAACCCCAACATTCCCAAAAATTCCCAAAACTTTCCAAAAAATTCCCAAACATCCTTAAAATGTCCCCAAAGTTCTATGAAGATTTCCAAAAAATTCCCCCAAAAATCATCAAAAAGTCCTAAAAAATCCCAAAAAAACCCCCAAAAAACCCCAAAAAAACCCCAAAAAATGCTAAAAAATTCCCAAAAAATTCCCGAAAAATTCCCAAAATTCCCAAAATTCCCCCAGCCCTGCAGCGTTTCAGCGAGAGCATCCAGGAGTACCTGGTGGGGCGGGACCAGGGCCCCGAGCGACATCCCCCAGAAATTCTCTACAAAAATAAAAAAAATTCATGAAAAATTCATGAAAATTTCCTGAAAAATTCCCCAAAAATTCCCAAAAAAAATCTCAAAAATTCCCAAAAAATTCCCAAATATCCCAAAAATATCCGCAGAATTCTATGAAGAGTTCCAAAAAATTCCTCCAAAAATCTTCAAAAAGTCCTAAAAAAATCCCCTGAAATCCCAAGAAAATCCCAAAAAAACCCAAAAAAATTCCTAAAAATTCCCAAAAAATTCCCAAAAATTCCCGGATTTCTCCCAGCCCTGCAGCGTTTCGGCGAGAGCATCCAGGAGTACCTGGCGGGGCGGGCGGAGGCTCCGGATCCGACGGTTCGTTCCGACGCCTTCGGCCTCGAGCTCGGAGCCGCCTTCGACATCCTCAGCCACGGCTGGATGCAGGCCCGGGACGGGAAGGTGGGATTGGGATTTGGGATTTGGGATTTGGGATTTTGGGATTTGGGGTTTGGGATTGGAATTTGGGGTTTGGGAGATTTCGGATTTGGGATTTGGTGGTTGGGATTGGCATTGAGATTTGGGATTGAGATTTGGGATTTTGGGGCTTGGGATTTGGGGGATTTGGGGTTTGGGGTTTGGGGTTTATTTGGGGTTTATTTGGGGTTTGTTTGGGGTTTATTTGGGGTTTATTTGGGGTTTATTTGGGGTTTATTTGGGGTTTATTTGGGGTTTATTTGGGGTTTATTTGGGGTTTATTTGGGGTTTATTTGGGGTTTATTTGGGGTTTGGGGTTTGGGATTTGGGGTTTATTTGGGGTTTGGGGTTTGGGATTTTGGGATTTGGGGTTTGGGGTTTGGGGATTGGGGTTTGGGATTTGGGGTTTGGGGTTTGGGATTTTGGGATTTGGGGTTTGGGGTTTGGGGTTTGGGGTTTGGGGTTTGGGATTTGGGGTTTATTTGGGGTTTATTTGGGATTTGGGGTTTGGGGTTTGGGATTTGGGGTTTATTTGGGGTTTATTTGGGGTTTATTTGGGGTTTGGGGTTTGGGGTTTGGGGTTTGGGGTTTGGGATTTGGGATTTGGGGTTTGGGGTTTGGGATTTGGGGTTTGGGGTTTGGGATTTGGGGTTTGGGGTTTGGGGTTTGGGGTTTGGGATTTTGGGATTTGGGATTTGGGGTTTTGGGATTTGGGGTTTGGGGGATTTGGGGTTTGGGGTTTGGGGTTTGGGGTTTGGGATTTGGGATTTGGGATTTGGGGTTTGGGGTTTGGGGTTTGGGATTTGGGATTTGGGGTTTGGGGTTTGGGATTTGGGGTTTGGGGTTTGGGATTTGGGGTTTGGGGTTTGGGGTTTATTGTTTATTTGGGGTTTGGGGTTTATTTGGGGTTTATTTGGGGTTTATTCGGGGTTTATTCGGGGTTTATTTGGGGTTTGGGGTTTGGGATTTTGGGGTTTGGGGTTTGGGATTTGGGATTTGGGATTTGGGGTTTGGGGTTTGGGGTTTGGGATTTGGGGTTTATTTGGGGTTTATTTGGGGTTTATTTGGGGTTTATTTGGGGTTTATTTGGGGTTTATTTGGGGTTTATTTGGGGTTTATTTGGGGTTTGGGATTTGGGGTTTATTTGGGGTTTATTTGGGGTTTATTTGGGGTTTATTTGGGGTTTGGGGTTTGGGGTTTGGGGTTTGGGGTTTGGGGTTTGGGATTTGGGGGATTTGGGGTTTGGGATTTGGGGTTTGGGGTTTGGGGTTTATTTGGGGTTTATTTGGGGTTTATTTGGGGTTTATTTGGGGTTTATTTGGGGTTTATTTGGGGTTTATTTGGGGTTTGGGGTTTGGGATTTGGGATTTTGGGATTTGGGGTTTGGGGTTTGGGATTTGGGGTTTGGGGTTTGGGATTTGGGGTTTGGGATTTGGGATTTGGGGTTTGGGGTTTGGGGTTTGGGATTTGGGGTTTGGGATTTGGGGTTTGGGGTTTGGGGTTTGGGGTTTGGGGTTTGGGGTTTGGGGTTTATTTGGGGTTTATTTGGGGTTTATTTGGGGTTTATTTGGGGTTTGGGGTTTATTTGGGGTTTATTTGGGGTTTATTTGGGGTTTATTTGGGGTTTATTTGGGGTTTATTTGGGGTTTATTTGGGGTTTGGGGTTTGGGATTTGGGGTTTATTTGGGGTTTATTTGGGGTTTATTTGGGGTTTGGGGTTTGGGATTTGGGGTTTGGGGTTTATTTGGGGTTTATTTGGGGTTTATTTGGGGTTTATTTGGGGTTTGGGGTTTGGGATTTGGGGTTTGGGATTTTGGGATTTGGGATTTGGGGTTTGGGGTTTGGGATTTGGGGTTTGGGGTTTGGGATTTGGGATTTGGGGTTTGGGGTTTGGGATTTGGGGTTTGGGGTTTGGGGGATTTGGGATTTGGGATTGGGGTTTGGGGTTTGGGGTTTGGGGTTTGGGGGATTTGGGATTTGGGATTGGGGTTTGGGGTTTGGGATTTGGGGTTTGGGATTTGGGGTTTGGGGGATTTGGGATTTGGGGGGTTTGGGGTTTGGGATTTGGGATTTTGGGGTTTGGGATTTGGGGTTTGGGGTTTGGGATTTGGGGGATTTGGGGTTTGGGGTTTGGGATTTTGGGGTTTGGGGTTTGGGGTTTATTTGGGGTTTGGGGTTTGGGGTTTGGGATTTGGGGTTTGGGGTTTGGGGTTTGGGGTTTGGGGTTTGGGGTTTATTTGGGGTTTGGGGTTTGGGGTTTGGGGTTTGGGGGATTTGGGGTTTGGGGTTTGGGGTTAATTTGGGATTTGGGGTTTATTTGGGGTTTGGGGTTTATTTGGGGTTTGGGGTTTGGGGTTTATTTGGGGTTTGGGGTTTGGGGTTTGGGATTTGGGGTTTGGGGTTTGGGGTTTGGGGTTTATTTGGGGTTTGGGATTTGGGGTTTATTTGGGGTTTGGGGTTTGGGGTTTGGGGTTTGGGATTTGGGGTTTGGGGTTTGGTGTTTGGGGGATTTGGGGTTTGGGGTTTGGGATTTGGGGTTTGGGATTTGGGATTTGGGGTTTGGGGTCTGGGATTTGGGGTTTGGGGTTTGGGGTTTGGGATTTGGGGTTTGGGAGATTTGGGGTTTGGGGTTTGGGATTTGGGGTTTGGGGTTTGGGGTTTGGGGTTTGGGGTTTGGGGTTTATTTGGGGTTTGGGGTTTGGGATTTGGGGTTTGGGGTTTGGGGTTTGGGGTTTGGGGTTTGGGGTTTGGGGTTTATTTGGGGTTTGGGGTTTGGGGTTTGGGATTTGGGGTTTGGGATTTGGGTTTGGGGTTTGGGGTTTGGGGTTTGGGGTTTGGGATTTGGGGTTTGGGATTTGGGGTTTGGGGTTTGGGGTTTATTTGGGGTTTATTTGGGGTTTATTTGGGATTTGGGGTTTGGGGTTTGGGGTTTGGGGTTTGGGGTTTGGGGTTTGGGGTTTATTTGGGGTTTGGGATTTGGGGTTTGGGGGATTTGGGGTTTGGGGTTTGGGGTTTGGGGTTTGGGGTTTGGGGTTTGGGGTTTATTTGGGGTTTGGGGTTTGGGGTTTGGGGTTTATTTGGGGTTTGGGGTTTGGGGTTTGGGGTTTGGGGTTTGGGGTTTGGGGTTTGGGGTTTGGGGTTTGGGGTTTATTTGGGGTTTGGGGTTTGGGGTTTGGGATTTGGGGTTTGGGGTTTGGGGTTTGGGGTTTGGGGTTTGGGGTTTGGGATTTGGGATTTGGGGTTTGGTAATGGGGGATTGTTATTGCAATTGGGTTTTGGGATTCGGATTTGGGGTTTTGGGTTTGGATTTGGGGTTTGGGATTGGAATTGGGTTTTGGGATTGGAATTTGGGGTTTGGGAGATTTGGGATTTGGGATTTGGGATTTGGTGGTTGGGATTGGCATTGAGATTTGGGATTGAGATTTGGGGTTTGGGATTTGGGGTTTGGGGGCATTTGGGATTTGGTGTTTGGGGTTTGGGGTTTGGGATTTGGGGTTTGGGATTTGGGGTTTGGGATTTGGGATTGGGGTTTGGGGTTTGGGATTTGGGGTTTGGGATTTGGGGTTTGGGGGATTTGGGATTTGGGGGTTTGGGGTTTGGGATTTGGGATTTTGGGGTTTGGGATTTGGGGTTTGGGGTTTGGGATTTGGGGGATTTGGGGTTTGGGGTTTGGGATTTTGGGGTTTGGGGTTTGGGGTTTATTTGGGGTTTGGGGTTTGGGGTTTGGGATTTGGGGTTTGGGGTTTGGGGTTTGGGGTTTGGGGTTTGGGGTTTATTTGGGGTTTGGAGTTTGGGGTTTGGGGTTTGGGGGATTTGGGGTTTGGGGTTTGGGGTTAATTTGGGATTTGGGGTTTATTTGGGGTTTGGGGTTTATTTGGGGTTTGGGGTTTGGGGTTTATTTGGGGTTTGGGGTTTGGGGTTTGGGATTTGGGGTTTGGGGTTTGGGGTTTGGGGTTTATTTGGGGTTTGGGATTTGGGGTTTATTTGGGGTTTGGGGTTTGGGGTTTGGGGTTTGGGATTTGGGGTTTGGGGTTTGGTGTTTGGGGGATTTGGGGTTTGGGGTTTGGGATTTGGGGTTTGGGGTTTGGGGTTTGGGAGATTTGGGGTTTGGGGTTTATTTGGGGTTTGGGATTTGGGGTTTGGGGGATTTGGGGTTTGGGGTTTGGGGTTTGGGGTTTGGGGTTTGGGGTTTGGGGTTTATTTGGGGTTTGGGGTTTGGGGTTTGGGGTTTATTTGGGGTTTGGGGTTTGGGGTTTGGGGTTTGGGGTTTGGGGTTTGGGATTTGGGATTTGGGGTTTGGTAATGGGGGATTGTTATTGCAATTGGGTTTTGGGATTCGGATTTGGGGTTTTGGGTTTGGATTTGGGGTTTGGGATTGGAATTGGGTTTTGGGATTGGAATTTGGGGTTTGGGAGATTTGGGATTTGGGATTTGGGATTTGGTGGTTGGGATTGGCATTGAGATTTGGGATTGAGATTTGGGGTTTGGGATTTGGGGTTTGGGGGCATTTGGGATTTGGTGTTTGGGGTTTGGGGTTTGGGATTTGGGGTTTATTTGGGGTTTATTTGGGGTTTGGGGTTTGGGGTTTATTTGGGGTTTATTTGGGGTTTGGGATTTGGGGTTTATTTGGGGTTTATTTGGGGTTTATTTGGGGTTTATTTGGGGTTTGGGATTTGGGATTTGGGGTTTATTTGGGGTTTATTTGGGGTTTGTTTGGGGTTTGGGGTTTGGGGTTTGGAGTTTATTTGGGGTTTGGGGTTTGGGGTTTGGGGTTTGGGGTTTGGGATTGGTATTGGTATTGGGATTGGGATTGGGATTGGATTTGGGGTTTGGGGTTTGGGGGATTTGGGGTTTGGGGTTTGTTTGGGGTTTGGGGTTTGGGGTTTGGGGTTTGGGGTTTGGGGTTTGGGATTTGGGGTTTGGGGTTTGGGGTTTGGGGTTTGGGGTTGGGGTTTGGGATTTGGGATTTTGGGGTTTGGGGTTTG